AAATCTTGAAAACATCACCACTGAATCCTCATCTGCTAAACTACAAGTGAAGGGTGGGGGGGGGGACTAAAGGTAAAAATAAAACTTTGTTTGTGAGGGCTACTTTTAGATGACCTCTAGGGTTTAACAATCTAAGAAATTACTAACCATTTACAAAAACTTGTGAATATAAAAAAAGATGAACATATGAATCATAAACGAAATTATTTTTATAATTTTTACGGTGGCTTGTTTTCATTGATGTTGGCTTCTAAAAAAGAGGAAGAGTATATGGGGAAAATCACCCTCATTGTTCATTCTCTCCTTTACTTTAATGGGTAATAATATCAATTATGAGCTATTTTTATTAAATTTAGTAGACCGACTGTTGTATTTTGGTTAAAAATTAGTGTCAGTCATCAACGTCATACTAAACAAGAAAATGATAACAGTTAATTTCTTTCGCAAAGTAAATATTGGTATAAGTATATCAAGATTCATGACATATATTACAAATTGGAGGCAAAAATCTTTTGATACCCTGAAACTATCATTTTTAATCAAACTTTAGTTTATTTCATCATTCCAGAAACTGGTTATATTGATTTTGCAGTGACACTCAGGAGAAAAGTTTTAGATATGTGAAAAATTACTTGAATTTACACTTTATTCATGCCGTTTTCTGTTTCTCATATAATATGTCACTATCTGTAGCTAGAATCTAGCATCCAAGCTACTGTTGTCTGTACTTCGAGGATTTCCTTTCTGTTTGAATCTATTATTACATCACAGTAGATCAGGAAGGATTATATTTGATGCTATTTATAGGTAAGGAAGAAGTAGAAATGCAGTCCTAAATGTAATTTCATCTGCAATCTGATATTTGTGGCAAGTGAATGGCAGTTCTCTGTTTGTGCCATTTGAGTAGATTTTTTTGCAGTTAATAAAAATCAAAGCTTCTTATTCAACAGAATGCAAACATCTGTTTCATAGAAAAGGGGGAGAAGAAGAAGGTTAATTCCTTCTTCTTCTTTCTTTTTTTTTTTTGGGGGGGGGGGGCAATGTTCCAGAGCTCTTTTGAAATTTCCAGAGCTATATTGACACTTGGTTTCATTTTTGTTAAATGCTGCTACAAAGTAATTTGTCCATTCTCAGTACAGTTCTAAATGCACTATTTACAAACTAAATGGAATACTTCAATAGGGCTTTTACAGAGTCTAAACCCTACTTTACTTATGTCGCTTGCGATGCCTATATTGAGACCCGCTGCCTTGGAGGGGTAGCGGCACGTTCTCTGTGCACTTTCTGCTGTGTTTCCTGCAGAGATGGCCAGGACATGAGCATGCCAGGCATGTTTGTGGATAAGACTGATTTAAGAGGGTCTGAGTTGGAGATCGACGCTGCTAATGCTATGGCCACCAAGAATATGAAAGATGAAAATAGCATTAAAGGACGGCATCAGCTTTGAAAATACAATGTTTGAAGGGTGAAAGTCCTATGTACTTTTATCTCTTTGTATGTTGCATAAATAATCTCCCTTTGCACTTATTTGGGGGGGGGGGATATACCACAGGCTTCAAGATTATTAAGCTGTTTCCAGTGCAAGAATAATCTCAATAATGGTGTTAATTTTGTAATTTAAACTCTCCCAATTAAAGGCTCCTATAAACAAAATAGGTATTAGTGCGGTATGGTATGTATTCCCGTAGGATTTTTTGTTGTTGCTGTTTTGGCTTCAATTGGCCAAAAATGATGGGGTTCAAATTTTCAGACCCCTCCTTAATTTCCTGGTGGGTCCATATTGGGCTCCAAAATGGCTTATATAACGCGCAATAGGGAAATTTAGTGTCTTCGGGAAAATTTGAACCCCCATCAATTTCTGATAGCTTGGACCCCAATGAATCCAAAAATGCAAAAAAAAAAATCAACTTTGGCACAAAAACCCTACGGGAGCTGTTTCAGTGACATACCGTACCACACTATATACCGGTATGCCAGTTCTTCATTTATTCATAACTTAAGGTGTTTTCTAACAATGCTATTATTATCTATTTGATAATGTACTTGATCAAGATACACATGAGGAAAGAAGGTTATTTTCCCAAATGGATTAAAAGAGGTAACAACAAAATACACTAATGGAAATATTCAAAAAAAGGTTATATCTAAATGAATGGAATTATTTGATATTAATATCTACCACAAGACGTATGGGTGTGCTGTCACCTGTCATAAGCCCTTGCCAAAGTGAATTAAAAGAGACTTCTGTTATTTCCGTTAATCACCCTGAATTACATCTGTTTTGATCGCAATTTAAGTGGGCCGGGATCCAGACTTAGTGAAGTTGAACTTTATTCACAAATACTGTAGGCTCTATCCCTCATATCTTTATTTTGTAGTTGTGTATATGATTTGATTTGATTTGATTGATTTGCCATCCTTTGATTTGAACTGGTTACATTTAAAAGGTGACCGATAAAAGGGAATCCAATATTCTTGAATTAGTAGGTCATACATACATTTGTTCGTCCCGAATATTGCCAGATGTTAGCACCTTGTAAAAGTTTATCAACCATTCAATAGAAAGCACAGAGCTCATTTAGACTATAATGGAGATTGAAGCAAATTACATTTTCTCCTTCAAATTGTTAGGAACTTTGTAAGTATATCTCAAGTTCCAACATTATGTCCTTATTTCTTCTGACATCTAAAAGTCAGCAACATATATTTCATAATTTTCTTCAATGAATGTATTTCTTGGATACATGCATGTAGCTGGGTTAATCACAGAAACCTTGTGAACATCTTGCCCCATGTTATGCACATGTTTGATAAAACCCGATTTGTAAGAAGGAAATTGTAATTTGTTACTCTATAAAATTGAGAATATAATGATAATACACGACCTTCATATGATAACCCATCCACATTAAAAGCATTATTTACTGTTACTCACTCCTTTTTATGGCAGAACATTCATCTTTCACGATATCATTAACAAAATAAATTATTTAGCTTTATGATCTTTCACGTTCACTCAAAGACTTATCTTTGAATACCTCTAAGCAGGCGCACACATCCACCATCCGATAACTAGAAATCATAACCATTACTCATACTTTCATTTGTAACCTAGACTCTCAGACAGGAAACATGACTGATGCGGTTTTAATAAGGATTTTTCTTCTTCTCAGCTTTGATGTAAGATGTATATTCAGTGACCTCCGCATCACTGACACATGGCCTTTAGTTGATAGCAAACCTTTATTATAAAAAAATGACTTTACACATTTTGACATGATGAGTGAAAGAAGACAACAAAAATTGTCCTCTTGACATGATGAAGAGAATTACCGTGTTACCATGGCAATGGAATGTCAGTAGTGACAGTGCGCAGCAGGTGTCGAGGATGTCATAATTGCATCATCAAATCTTGTAATAGGGCCCAATTTAGTTGGATATCCTTGACAGTTTTCGGCCAGCTACCTATCTCCCCTTTGGCTTCTCCAGGTGTTTATGTTTGCCAAATAAGATGGATCGGTAACCAATTACCAGTGATCTCCTTTTATTTGGTTTTAAGTCAAGTTCATTATGGTTTTTAATGATAAATTTATGTCTTTCTGATGGATAGGATGAAATCTTGGAATGATTCATAAATGAGGCTTAATTTATGAGGTTATGCATTATAATCTATCTAATCATTTCTCCATGCTTGATTGGGCGTCCTTTTCATGAGGTTGGCATAAGTTGATACATTTGTAGAAAAAAACACATCTTATTTGGATTTTTTGTTGTCAATAACACACTCTCGCTCTCTCTCTCTCTCTCTCTCTCTCTCTCTCTCTCTCTCTCTCTCTCTCTCTTAATAACACCCCTCTTCCATTTTCCCTCTCTCCCTCTCTTTTAAGTCCCCCTCTTCCATTTCTTTCTCCCTCCCTCTCTTTCTTTCTCCCTCCCTCCCTTTCTTTCATCTGTTCTCTACCCTTCATAAAATAACAAGGAAATTAAACTTGACAAGTCAATTAGATGTAGATTTCAGTGGGATTTATCTGATTAGCCTGGTGTAATCATAACTAATATTGAGGCAACATTCTAAAGTACAACACATTTTTCAATATCCTTTGGTATGTATTGCATTGTTAAATGATTCTTCATATTGAATGTCAACATGTATTGCCTTTCATTGCCTGCCTGCATCATATTTTCATTCAGCTGAGGCCTAGAGCTCAAGCTTTGAAGACCCACTGCTGGGTCAATATTCTTTGCATTTCCTTCTTTCTCTCTCTCTCTCTCTCTCTCTCTCTCTCTCTCTCCCTTTCCCTCCCTCCCTCCCACCCTCCCACCCACCCTCTCTTCTCCCTCCCTCCCCTTCTCTCTCTGTTCCATATCTGGAGGTAACAAATAACTTTGAAATCTAATACTAGCTGTAAGTAAATCAAATTGTGGATGAAAATAGAAGTTTGCTTCGATGACCAACGAACATACCTGCCATTCCATAGTTGTTGATTTTCTTTCCGATGAAATGAAATTGAATGAATATTCACTACTTTCATAAAGTCAATGGCATGCAGAGCTAAGTTAAAAAGTAGGTTGATGCTATTTTAAGGGTATCTTTAAAAAAGAAAAGTGAATGTACCTTATTTAAGAAGGATGTCAGTTTTTACTGAATTTTCTTGCATTAATTGTGTCATGTTGCATATGAACTTTGTTATTTAAATAGAATAATTATTCTGATTGAATAACAAATTTTAGGGAAAATGAAAATGAAATTGAAAATGAAAATGAAAATTTTTGCTTCCCTCTCCTGAAATAAATTTTCTTGACTGGGAAAGGGGAGTTGACAGGAAGGTAATATATTTTCTCATTTTGTTTTCTTCAATCTTTGAATTGTAATTTGATTCATTTTAGTTTAATTTAGTTTAGTGTTGGGTGGAGGAATTGTGCTTATATTAGAGTGATGAACTTTCAAAAAGTTGTATAAATAAAATGATGATAAATCTAATTTTGTTTTTGCAAATCAGGATGGGAGAAAGTAAAGCATGCTATGAGCAAGAGGCATTTAGCTGAAGTCAACAGACAGCGCTTGATGACATCATCGACTGAGGAGAGTCCTCCTGTTGCTAAGCGACAGGAGATGGCGGAAGATGGATACCTCACACCAGGAGATTCTACCGATGATGGGATCAGGAATGTGCCTTCAAGGAGAGATGGAAACAAGAAATCACACTCTAGCAACAGAGGTAAAGTTGAACATATTCTTCCCTTCTTCTATCTTCTTGGACTACACACCCTCAAGAAAGATAACCAAGAGTCCTTTTCAGGACTCCTCAATCGTCCCTATCTCTCACATGGTGCATCAGCAAGCCTACTGTTTTTGTTATATGTAGTATTGATCATTTTCAGGTACATGTACTCACAGATCATTTTTTTTAGCACAAGTTTCCTAATTGGGGTACTATCTAACTATAGAGGGAGCTGTGTAACCAAACTTTGGCATTGTCTAACTTATTCATCACACTTTTGACTTTTTCATTGCTTTATCCAACTTATGTTCCAAGCCATTTCAACAATTAAAAAAAAATTGAATTACAAAAACCACCAAAAAAAAATAGAATACTGTAATAAGGAAATGTTACAGACAAAAGCATTATCTATGAGATTATCACTGTCATATTCTTTGTTTGGGTGTTTTGTACATTTGTTATAAACAGGAAGGAAAGGGAGAACAACACAGCTTTTTAACTTTTAAGAATAGATTAGTGGACAATTTAAATGCTTGCAATTTTGGAAATATTGAACAGGTATTTAACCTGTTTATAATGAATTACATATATTTTGTTCTTATTCCAAAGATATCAAAGATGAATTCAAACCTTGCTATCAAATGAATCAATACCGGTTAGATCTTTGTGATAAAATTAGATGTGGCTAGGATTTGGAATTCTGGGAAAGGCATCAACCGCTTTGTGACAAAATTAATGAATTTCCCTGCATGGAATTTCAGCTCTGATAAGTCATATGCTTCATTACCAGAAAGCTGAAGCCAATATTGAGATGTCATCATATCCACAAAAAAATCTATCAAGATTTTGTAATACCGTTTTTAAGATGAAACTTAGTTTAATTCCTGTGATGTTGTGAAATTTGTTTCTCCTGATATTTACAAATTAAAAACAACAGGGTCTTATAGTCTTGATTGGAAACCATCCTGATTGACTTTATACTTTATTTTCACAAACTTTTGAACTTTGTGCTCTTGCCAAGTAACTTTCAGTCAGGGGCTTAGATTAATTCCATTTAGATGAATAATCAACTCTTAGATCCTTGCCAAATTTTTAAATTATCTTTAATAAGATTATTGGTGACACATTTTGAACACACCTTTGCAAGTTTAATTTTGAATTAGAGCAAGGAAATTATTCAGCAAGTTATAACAAAATTTCAAAACCAGAGAAACCTCAAGATGTTTAGTTGAATTCTGAAAATGTTCATTTTGGAGGGATTTACTTTTATGCACTTCATTATTGTATAAACTCCCAATTAATTTTTTTAAATTATTAACCTGATAGTGTGGTGGTCTTCTTTCTAACACATTAATTTACACTCACAAATTTGTGTATATTTCCACTCATTATTTTTTATTCATTAATACTGTATGATGATGAATTGATATTAATACCAAATTGCACTGCGACTTGAATGTTTTGCTAGCAAAATATAATCCACAAATATGGTAATCATGGTTTATATATGAGCTTTATATAATGCATATATATTTCAGCTTGTTGTTTAATCATATTTATTCACTTTCAAAGAAAAGAAACCTTTTAACGCATTATATGATATCAAATTGACATCTATATATATATATCTCCCATCTGTTTGAAGTAAAAATGGTATTAACTCATAACACTTTGCACAGAGTTAACACCCTTGTTTGCTGTTTATTTATGAGTATTGTCTATTGAGAGCCAGAAGGGCGTTAACTATGCAAATTGATATAAGTTAATGCCATTTTTACTCAACCAGATGATTATTAATCCATACTAAAGACTACCCTTGTCTGCTATGATATTTATCCATATTTTATATATCAATACTCAATCCTCTCTCTCTCACACTCACTGCACCCCCTCTCTCTCTCTCTCTTTCTCTCTCTCTCTCTCTCTCTCTCTCTCTCTCTCTCTCTCTCTCTCTCACTGCACCCCATATACTCCATATTGATGTGATCAGATTGCAGTTTTAATGAGCATGATCCCCTTGCTCGCTCATCCTCAAGTAAAAGTGATCACTCCACGTCCAGCTTCAGCGAAGAATTTGCACGAAAGTTACAAGAATGGGAGAAAATGAGACTAAGACCTACAGGTGATGATGCTTAACCCTTTAGTTATCAGAGACAAAAATACCATGTATAAAACGTGTGGTGTTTTGGTCTTGCGGTAACCGGAGACTTAGATAGGCATGGCATGTAGGACAAATGCAAGATAGAGTAGTTTCCAGTGCTAATATGAATGACTAGAACAGATTTATTTTTAGAGAGTTTCATCCGAGCCAGACATTTTTAGTTAACCTTGCTACAATAGCTGCCCGATTTATCATAACCAATTTAGTCACTCTTTGTCTGCAAATTCATGGTAACTTTTTGAAGAATGTCTGACATAGCAACACCTATTGCATGCTATATTGCTGCTTGACAAAACAATTCAGGTGTTGGAATGTCTATGCTAGTAGAAATATTCAAGGGAATAAGAATACAAGGCAATAAGAAGGAAGACATTTTGAAATAAAAACCTTAAGAAATACATCCAATGGCAAGAGGAACAAGAAATTTGAATGAATTTCTTGCCCTTTGGCCCCGGTGCAGGTGACTCCTTGTCAAAGGATTTGGTAATTTTTTTAATGCTCATCCCATAAATATATGTATCAATTAGTTTGCTCTGGAACTACCAACTACCCTTATTTAGGACTACCATTCTTTCAACTGACCACATCATGCTGAATTTATTTTTTCTCCAGACTTCACTTTGCTTCACATGGGTGGGGGGGGGGGGGGGGAGGGGGTATAGGGCCAACAGAAAGACAAGTGAACATTGACCGCAAGATGAAGGAAAAGAGACAAGACAAGACAAGAAGAATCAGATAAAATATCAGACGGGAAGGGGATTGGAGACAATGAGGGTCTAAAGAGATGTTACAATAATTAAATGTTTTATAACAGTCCCATTGGCTAATGATTATGGGGTATTATTTCCCCCGTCTTGATCAGATAAATTAGCATAAAGGATTTCCATCTGTCCTTGTTATGGTGTGATAGTCTAGACTTCAGCTTTCAAAGAGGTTCATCATTTATAGTTGATGAGCTACATGTAATTAATTTTACTCTAATCTATTAAGGAATTTAACCTTTTATTGAAGTATCAATCATTAAACTTTTAATGGTTTTGTTCCATAATTGCAAAAATTCTCTACTCAGGCCTGCCATATATTGTGCTTTGAATTTATAGAAAACGTCTTGAACAAAAGATTTTGTTTCTGCAAAGTACTGCTATGACACTCTATAGTTGCTCTTGCATGCATTTAATCATTTGTTTGTTGTTGTTTGCTTCTTTTGTGAAACCTTGATGAAGTTTCATTTAATGGCATGCTGTGTAACTGCAACTCTGAAGTCCTTCCACTTTTAAAACTACTTGAAATGCAGACTTTTATTTATTAAGTAGTCACGTCTTCTTTCTATCAATTAATCAAAATCTAGAAGATAATGCATGCTTGTGTCGCATGATACTGTATAATGCATGTTTAGACTTGAGAAATGTTTGACAATACCTTTTTGTAACAATTTGTCTTCTTGAATATTTGTAATAATACTAAACTGAAATCAAATACAAATCTTCTTTTCCCCTATTACACATGTCTTTCACATACAAAAGGAGTACGAATATAAGGAACAATTTGCCAGTTTGTAAGTACAAAATGGTACATTGATATTGTGGTGTTGTATTCGATGTGCCATCCGTTTGCAGTTCCAAACCTTCTTAAATTCTATCATTTGTCTTTTCTTCACTCTCATTTCTTGTATTTTAATTATTTGATGGGTTTCATTACATTTGTTTGATATTTTTTGTGTTTTTCAAGGATTTTTCCTTCATATCTTGATGTGAAAAAATGATCATATTCCTCTTTTTTTTTTTTTTTTTTTCCTTTTAATATCATGTCTTCTAACTCATCAAATACCTAATTTGATGTGCTTGTCATCCGGACATGGTGTTGGAATCATATAAAGTTCTATCCATTTTGTATACTCTTCTAATTTTCACATAATTTATTTATTTTACTTGTTCTTTCAATTTGATGTGTCATTAATAATCATTATGAAAAATATGCAGATCCAAAATGACGGAATAGATGTACTTAACAATTATCTCATTTTTTAATAAAGAAAGACAGGAACTACCCACTTTATATAGGCAATGTGTAAAATGAATATTGCATAATCTGCATCATAATTAGTTTTTTTAAGCCGTTCAACCAAAGTTTGACTTTATTTAAAGGCTTGACCACCCGTCTTTGCTTCACGATAAGATGAAAGTAATGAGATAGATTTCTGAGAGATGGACAGAAGAAGCCCCTCCTAATAGCAATCCAGATGATTAGTTATAATCCACAAAATGTCAGGTATTTGACAACCAAATTACTGGAGCAAACTCTAATCAAGATCTGTCAGTTCCAATTAGAATCATGCTGCATGGATCCAGAACTAAAGTTTACATTTCAAAAACTTAATCTTCCATAATTTTTCCAAAGAGAATGGGATAACTCCTCTTCATTTTAGACGGATACTCGCATAGCTCTATCGTTAACATAGATAAATAAACAATGTATTAAGTCAATTATGTCCAGGGCTTATGTCCACAAGGGGGTTTACCTTATTTCTGGTTGCAAGAAATAGTTGCAATCGGGACATTGATGAAGAGGAAATTTCTGTGAGATTTGAGGGATTTGGGCCGCTGACCTATGATTCATAGAGACTGGAGACGAAGGAGGATTACACTGATTAGTGCCCAACGATCTTACACATATGGCTTATATTGCCTTTGCTACTACACTATACAAAGCCAGTTTACGTGTTTCTATTGAATATCAAGTTACCTATCCAGCTGGACGTGTTGTGATAAGAGATTCCTGTTCTAAAATGGATTTCTATTAATATACATAATGTTTCCTGTTGTAGATTCTAAACTCTCTTTGTTTAGTTTTTGCCATTCAAGTTTGTGTTCTTTTATATTCCCCTTTCTTCATGAGTAATATGTGGTTCAGATAATGAACTTTATTTGCAATTTTTTTTTTTTTTTTTTTTATCTAAGAGCCTTTTTTATAATTATACTTATAATCAAAGTATATATTTTTAAGCAAAAGTTCTAGAGTAAGGATGTCTTGATGTAATCAAATTTTAGATAAAGTAATGATAAGGTTTTTTTAGCATTAATTGGACCTTCCCCTAGTGATTTTTCTGTAATAAAAAAAATACTAATTAATATTGAAGAATATTTACAAATAATGATCATGCAGACTTAAGTCAGTTGAACTCTTTTGGTAGTGATATTTATGATGATGATGATGATAATGGTGATGATGATGTTTCTTCACAGCAGATGCCATATTATTGTGTTAAAACATTAAAAGGTTCATGACCCTGCAAGGAATGAAGTCATTATTATGCACATTGTTTGCTGAAAGAAGTAATTCTTCACAGTTCACTCACAGTTTACAAAAGTGAAGAGAAAAAAATATTGTAAAACATGATGTTTACAATAATCAATGTCTATGAACTATTCAACCAAGTTCAAATAGAGGTTGATGTGGAATACCCCCCTGGGACTCACATAATGTACTCAAATGACTAAGTGAGCTTCAGACGATCTTCCGCTGGTCTCACCCGCCCATCCTCTCCTTAATGCCACATGGCGTATCAATCCTTTATCCGTCTCATATGTCTTGCCAATGGCCAGATTTGAGCTCATGTTCCTGTACGTCATTAAGCCAGTCTGTAGAGCTAAGGAATTGATCATTCATGGCTGTGATGGTCATTACATATCAAAGAATCATGTTTGAGTCGATCTAGAGAGAGAAAATAAAAAGATTATTCATGTCTGTGATGATCAATCTATCTTAGGGTCATGATCAAGGGGCATACCGTATGGCACTTCCATCTGATGACATCATGTTTGAGTCTAGATAGGCCTACTGAATCGATTAATCATGTATGCGATGATCATTGAATCATTGTTTGATCACCCGAATTGGGTACCGTAACATGAATTTTGGTCATATACTTTTAATTTCTTAGTTTTGTAATAAAAGGATAATTAATAATTCAATTAAAGTTATACTGAATAGCAATGCATGTATGGTGTACAGACTGAAATATGAGTATGCAGCTGATGAAGAGTCAAAACACTGGCTGTTCATTTTTTCAATACAATTCTGCTAGGCACACAAATCTATCTGATATATTTCAAGATACAATGATAAGGAAGTAATTTGAAGAGAGGTTTGTTTTTCTTGATATACATCCTTAAGTTTGTGGGTTCAAATCCTGGGTATAAAAACATAGATGGATGGAGGGATGTTGAAAAGCTAGAATCTGCCATGTGTTGATTTACTTATAGGATAAGGATGAAGATAAAAATTACATGAGGACAAGAAAAATAAAAAAATAAATAAATAAAATAAATAAATACATACATTTTTTTTTTTTTTTTTTTTAAATCAAAAAATCAAAATCAAAATCAAAATCAAAATCAAGATCCTAGTATAGTGCTAAACATATTTGGGGCATGGGAGTAATTATTTAATTTTCAATGATTGCACCACCCCTCCCCCCCCCCCCCCCCCCCCCAAAAAAAAAAAAAAAAAAAAAAACTTTTATCCTGCCATGGTATGTAGGACTTTATATCTGCAGGCCTTGGCAACACAAGACATGAGATGTAATTATGGTTCAAAGGAAATTCAAAAGGCTAAATCAAATTAACAGTTTTGAGCAGGATGTGTATTTCTCTTGGGTTTTGGGGGTATAGAGAGGGAAGGATAAAAAATTATTTTTGGATAGTTTTTAATTAGAATCAGTGATGGGTCAGAGAGAGAAAAGAAAGGATTGGATGAGTGTGCAGGGGCAGTCTGATATGCTTGACTAGGTGAAGGTTAATGTCTGTAGGGTTAGAGACAAGCTTTATGAGTAATCACTGTTTCTCTTTTAAACACTTTTTCACACTTACAAAGAAAGTATAATTACTCTCTGCTTGGTTGTCCTTAAATCTTTATTCAAAGGGAACTTTGGCTAAATCAAATAATTTAGAGCAGGACGTGTATTTCTCCTGGGTTTTGATGTCTGGAAGGGGTATAGAATTATCCTGGGACTTCTTGCAGGTTTTATGTTCCGCTAGATTTATATCTGACCCAATAATCCAACCTTTACTGGTGCTAGGGTCATTTGATTAAACATGGGGACCCGGCCAGCTCCAAAAGCAAAGAATGTCACAGAGATTGTAGGCTACAGTAACTGGTTATGGTATGTGGAAATGGTTATTCTCACTTTCCCCTACTTACCCCCTTCCTTGTTTCATTGCTTGCTATGCATATTATTTTGTTACTGGATTAATGCCATCTCAGTTATTAGCACTTCCATTTTCCTTGAAGCCTTCGAGACAAACCCTGCAGGGATCATGCGTCAGGGGTATTAAGTTTTCAACTCTATGGCTTGCAATAGATGTCACTTTACTTTCTTCGATATCCTGTACAACAAGAAAAGAGGAAGGGCTTGATGATTCTTTGAGGATGTAAATTGACAATAATGTCTTGTAAATTGCCTGTCATGATGGAGTCTTAATCTTGTAATCCCATATGATGAAGATGAGTGATGGTTATAAAAGGAAAGAGACAAGGTTAGAATCCCAGCTAGAACCCACAGGAGATGCTTTCCATTGTTGCATATGCAGCCTCTCAGGGACGGGCACTTGCACAATATCCGCATGGCAACAGATTAACTGAAATGTGTCGAGGAGTGAAGGCTATTGCCGTGAGTGATTTCGTTCTATAGGGAGAATGAACCCGATTGCTCTAAATTCATGAGCAATTAAAATATTAAATTTCTAAGGTCTGTATTAGTTTGGGGGTAGGAAAGTTACAATCAAATGACATATTGAGCTGTAGTACCTATAAGATGCCTAAGAAATTGAGCAGTTATTCTTAGAATTCTCTTTGGAATATTAACCTGATTAGGGAAATAGGGTGGGAATTTGATTTGTCAATTTGTCAATTTCTTGATTCAGTATTCAATGATGACATATATGATATTTGATGCTTTTGCTAACTATATAGACGAATAAAAATGTGGGCAAAAAAAGAAGACTCTGAAAAGGGAATGAAGGAAAGACAAATATAAGTTGAGAAAGAGGGAAACAGAGACAGATTCAGAGGCACAGATTAGCATGACAGAGGGACAGACAGATATACTGATGGATAATGATAGAGAATGTTACTGAAGTTTATTAGATTTTTCCTTAGTTCATTTTTATTTTCCAATTATTTTCTCTGCTGTACATGGTTTTGCATGGCATTTTACACAACTACTGCAATTATATGCATGCAAAGACAATGCATTCTGCTTCATCTGTTTGTTTGTCAAAATATGAATTTAGTAATACATGTAATGTTTGTGTATTTGTATCTGAATAGAAAGTTTACAAAAGCTGTCTTGAATATTTTGTGCCAACAGAGCATGCATGATGTGTTGCAGCAGAACCCTATCAAGTTTAATCACTTTTTAAACATGGCGAATCTGGTAATGTGATTGCAATCAAATCAAATATTTTATTGATCTTCATCCAACTATAACCATTAAAACATTACTTAAATGAAAATTAAAATGTATGTCCTTTTCTTTCTATGATTTTTCTGTAGGTCACGCTCCATTACAGAAGCAAGGATCAGTGGAGAGTGGACCTGATGCACCACCATCCTGTCCTGTGGATATACAGTCAGAACTGAACAAAGGACTTACAGAAGAGTTCAGCAAGAAACTTGCAGAATGGGATAAGATGAAGAAGTCTGGCTATGGTGCCACCAGCCCCAAGGGTGAACCTAAGCAGAAGAAAATCAACAAGGAGAAGAAGGACAGTACAAAGAACTCCAAGGAAAAGGAAAAGGAGAAGCAGAAGAATAAAGAGTCTCCCGTATTGACGAGGAGGAGCAAGTCCCCAGAAGCCAAACTGTCAAGGAACATTGTAGTCATTGAGGATGCTGATGGACAACTGAAACTAGAGGGTGCTTCGAAGGAATTCTCCAAGCGCTTCCAGGAGTGGGAGAAGATGAGAAGTCAGTCTTCCATGAACACTTCGGACAGTGACTCTCCAACCCAGAGGGTACGGAAGCAAGGTTCTGAGGATAGCAGTGAGCCAGGGCCTCAGAGAGAACGAGAGGTGTCTCCAAGAAGGATGGACGACTCCTCAAAGACCACACCATCAAAGACAGACAACGCTCAGGCTCAGAAGAAGGTAGGCGCAACGTCCCATGAGGCAGGGTCCCAGTCAGAGTTCCCCGATGACGGGAGGCCAGGGGAGGATGCAGTCTTTGCGGAAGCCGAGGAACACATCACCAAGCTGGAGGAGAAGAACACGTTCCTAGCAACGCAGCTCAAGAGGAAAGATGTCAACCTCCAGGCTGTTCAATCAGAGCTTGAGACAATGCAACATCAGCTGGAACAGATAGGAGGCAGCAAGAGAGGTAAGAATTAACATAGCATCCTCAGCATGAAGTGACTAAAGCATAGAACCTACGTTGCCTCTTGCTTCCAACACAGGCTTTATGTAGGTAGGACTAGTGAAAGTTTACAATTCCACTTTCCTCCTCTACTTTCACATATGATTCCAACATTATAATCAGCAACCATGTAGGATATAATGAGCAGTCACGTATGTGAACTAGTAGTTTCTGGTAGAATTAGACAAAATTAATATAACTATGGTCATATTTTGCCCAGGGTAGCGTCATCAGTATCAATGTTTTCCTTCCTGAGGGTCTGCAATCATATGTCTGCCTTATGTTAAGCGGTATCAGGGTGATGAGAGGGTTCTGGTTGGATCATGAAATAAATGTGTTCCATGTTTTCCCATTGCAAGGAATTATCATGAAAATGGATCAACAATGAGGACAATTTATCAAAATTGTAAGCAGAATGGTGACTCCCAAACTCTTGAAACATCACAGATTCAAGTTAACTTGGTTCCGATACATCTGTTCAATTTTAATTCAATCAAACCAGATATCTGGAGAACATCTTGTTGGGATGGGCCTGTCTTAAGCTAGGACATATTTGATAAACTTCAGCTGTAAATATTTCTTGTAGAAGTTAAGAGAATGTTTTGATCACCAAGTTAGTGATACTGCTTTGCAAAGATAGAGCAGATGTCTCATATAAGCCAATTGACTTCTACCATTCTCAGTGCATCTTGCAAAGCATGATTGGTTTGCAATCATTCCCTGAGAGTTATCAGCTGAGAACCCATTCATAGATTCTCCTGATATTGATACATCTGTTATGATGAATATTGTTCAGTGCTGTCTCTCATTTGCAAGTTTGTTCGATGCGAAAGAGATTGTTTAAAGAAAAGTTTAACAGATCTCTCATTAGTCACTACATTCACATTGAACAGTGAGTTCTGAATAATAAAGCACACATGTATTCCAATCAAATTAGGCAGCTGTTAACTCATTTATCTCAAGTTTGTTTGATTTAAATTTGTTTAGGGGGAGGGTTTGATTTTTTAAATATTTGGTTGAGGGTCTTTTATTTGGTTGAAGGTTGTAACATTAACAATTTAAGTAGCTATCTTGCTATAGCAGCAAGGGAATCTTTCAATTTCGAAACAGAATATAGCAAAAAAAAGATAATGTTAAGTTCAGGATAAGTTAGTGGATGTGGACAGATCTTGGGATAGATAGCATGTCTGGCTGGTAGAAAACAGATCAGTCAGGCAGGGCTGACAGGATCCTACCTAGGAATGTCAGGATCCAATAGGAAAGACCATCACACCTTGGTCCCACAAGCAGGGGATGGGTTAAGCCTGTCTGTCGTACAAGGTCCGTCATGATCCAAGCGGACCTTCGAGGGAGGAAATTGAGCAAATTTAGGCCTGTCACGCGGCGGGGCGGAACCCTCACGATCGAGCCGTGAATCTGCAGGTTTCTCGGTCGTGGTGATGTCAATCAGAAGGTGTCCTTGTCTCTATGGCATCACTCTACATCACATACCTGCCATAGCTCTTCAAATGTAAAAACTGTCAGAAATTTGAGGTTGACCGAACACAGGAAAAATGCTCAAGAGTCAAGACCAAGTTGTCAATATTAAAGGATTAGTATAAGGTGCCTGTTGTGCTTTGGTTCTTCCAAACATCTGTTGGGAAGCATTATTCAAAATATGAAAAATTGTATTGACAAGCAAAGCGATGACTATTAGTTCATACTCTGATGAAAGGGAAGTACTTTAGCTTTTTATGCAACATGTAATTCTAAGGAAGTAACATTTTGAATTATATCGATATCAGGGATATCTTGACTTTTAAAGTCCCACAAGTTGCCTTTAGAAATATGATCCTTCTATATGTACTTCACATTAAGACATCTCACTTGAAACATTTGTTCTGTTATTACATCAAAAGAATGTTTCATTTATCACTAGCGGCCATACCTAAAGAGCTTTTTAAAAAAAAAACATTTTGTAGTACATCTACAACCTGTACATGTTTTTCCATCATGAAAAAAAACGTCATTTATAAATTATAATACATAAATATTAGAAATTTTACTATAATTGGGGGATACAGGTTTGACATTGGTATAAAAGGACATATCCATGTGGCCTTTAGGTGTGTTGTATCAGGGGGCGTTTTGTATAAGATTTTCCATCTACATTTTTTTGGTCATTGGTCAGTAAAAACTTGTTGGGCTCTTTTGCAGTAGTGGTCATTCATCAGGGTCAACTGATAAAAAGATGCCATAAATAAATGTACATGTTATCTGAGGGATATGGTATTATGGTTGTCAAAATAGAAGAATAAACAGGACAGGTTTTTTCTATGTATTGGGAGACCCTGGGAGGATGCTGTCATCCAGGTAGTACTTGTGTTCTTGGTGATTGCACTGTGGATTCTATATCAGTCCTTTACTAGCTGAAACATAGAACGAAATAGAACCTGTCAACCAGTGATAGATGAAACATATGAGAACTGAGTTGAAGCTATTTATGGGCCTCACTAGAGAGAAACACTTGCCAAGTATACTTCAGAATTTCTCTCCTTTTCCTCTTAATTGTAACACATCTCTTTTTATTCCTTCTTCCTCTCTCTCTCTCTCTCTCTCTCTCTCTCTCTCTCTCTCTCTCTTCTCTCTCTCTCTCTCTCTCTCTTTTATCTGCCTATTTCTCTGTCCATTTTGTTTTTCTCTGGTAGTTTCCTTTTCTCCAAATCTGTATCTCTGTACCTCATTCTCATCTCTCACCCCCCCCCCCCCTCTATCTCTCTCTATCTCTCTCTCTCTCTCTCTCTCTCTCTCTCTCTCTCTTTGAGCTTTCTCTCTCTCCATTTACTCTTTTTTTTCTCTTCCTTCCTGTACTGTTCTAGTCTCATTTCTTAGAAGTTCTTCAATAATGTAATCACTCATTATGTGCCAGATATCTAGACAATGGGGTTAAGTCATTAGGAACTGAATTAGAAAGAGGACAAGGAGATTGGAAGTAGTTTAAGGTTGTCCACGTCATGGGTTGCCATGAGTTATCCTTAAAATGTGGTGAATCAACGCCTAAATTTACCCTTTCAAAACGTCAGGTGTCTCATGTTTTTCCAGGTTTCAAGCTGTAAGATGCTTCACACAAAATTGCCATAAAGAAGGAAAAAAAATGTATTGAAAGAAAAAATGAAAGTGTTATGAATATATGTCTTGTCATGCACCTCATTCTGTAATTTCTACTATGCGTCACTCCAAAATTTGCAGATAAAGTTTTTGTTTTAATTGATGTGATTATTTTTATTTTCTAGTAAATTTTGATTAGTACAAATTGAATCCCAGATATTTGTAGTTATATTTAATTTTAAGAATTGGAATGTTGTTTGAATTAAATAGTGACTAGATTTATGTGTAGATTGTTGTCTTGGTTGCAGTAGTTTCACTTGCGTGATATGTCGTTTCAAATACTCACTACATTTCCTTTCTTAATGTAACTTATGCTCATGCTTTTGTGATCTCTTACAGATCTGTTAGAAAAGTGCCCCCACGTGTCTAAGTTTGGTAAGCCCGGCCCTTCCCCTATCCTCTTTCCTATTCCCTGAGGTATCTGAACAGCTCATGCTACCCTAGTTAACCTCAGTATATGACTTCTTTGTTTAGGATCTCCCTATTTACTTTCCATGTATACTTTCAAACATTAATAGGAAAAAAATGACCGATTCCATGTTACTTAGCATTTATATCAAACTCAAGAGAATGAATCGCTTGCTATCAAATTGCATGCATCATGTAGAAAGATCAACTTGTGTACAATGTATAATGTAGCAGCATTTGTCATGTTATGTGTACCCTGTCCTGTGCCCCTGCTCCACCTTGACATATCTGTTGACCCTCGTACAGATGTGACAGAGAGGGGGCCATTCATTTTGTATGCATCCTTGTTAAATGTTAAAGTGCGTCACTTGCAAAATTTGTTCATGTTGTCAAAACTCCCCCAGTTTTTTCTGTGTCAAAGAAGCATGTTTCTGTTCTAACAACTTGTGTTTATTGTAAGCAGCCCCCTTCCCCACCATTCAAACCCTGAGCTTGATCTAACCTTACCCCTATACATGCACCTGTTATTTTGTACCCTCACAGATCGTTTACAAAAGCGCACCAGTACGTGTTCCTCAATCGGTGAGTCCCTCTTAGAGGAAGAACTTAACGACATCAAATCACAGGTCGAGAAGTTGGAAGAGCAGTTTCAGCTACGCATTAAACCGTCCAAGAGGTCTTCACCACCATCACGACCACAACCATCATCATCATCATCACCAACGGCATCAGCATCGTCCTCAGCATCAAAGGATCATAGCTCAGTGGGGAAGGTTTTGAGTCAGGAGGTCATGACCCCTGAGGTCGCGACCTCTGACCCCAAGGAGCCTGCAGAGCCCATGGATGTTGTGGATGCATGCGTTTCAACAGGTCGGTCATCTCCTATTGTGACTTGAATCCATCTTTTTATCTTTCTGATTGTTCCTTCTATTAATCACTCTCCATTTTTCAACAGATTTCCATAACAAGGCATGCTTGCTGCAAGTTGTTTGAATTTCATTAATCAATTTATGGATGCTATGTAACACTCCTCTAGGAATCTTTTTTAGAGAAAATGATAATTTAATGACTTTTTGAAATGGTGAAACTCTACCGTTTTATGATGAGAAGATATTGTCAAAACGTTTACCTTCACTAATCACTATCTAATAACCTTGATGTGAGATATTACAAATTCATGGTAATTAATTGTTTTATTATTGCTCTATGATAAAAAGTTTAAAATATGTAAATTTTGATAGAACACTAAAACCATCAAGTTTCACAACACCATCCTCTATTAAATTGTGGAGAAAAAAAAAGATTCCCTTCTCAATAGGCCCCAAAGTGTTCTGAAAAGGAAAGGAAATTGGCAAAAAGTATTTCCTTTTCAGGATTTCTTTTGAAATGTAGAAATACTGTGTGGGTTGGACTAATAAACGTTTCTCTTTCAAACTAACTGGAACTGAATGAGCAAATTGGATTGAATTATCAAGAAGGAAGTAGAAAAAATCCTTCTCTTTTCACCAGAAATTGACAGAGGCATGATTCTTGTTTAGAATGTACAGTTTAGTTCAGTGATGATCATTGGTTGCGGTTGAACTAATCTAAAGACCGACTTAAAGTTCAGAGGAAGAGGAACTTAAGTCATTACTTATACATGGTGATACCCTGGTCACACAGACACAGATAGACACCAGAGGCAAAGAGAGACACCGGGCATCGTTTCACCAAACCTTCATAAATACAAGCTCAGCGACATCCCATTGAAACAGATGTTACATTGAATGTACACATTTCAATGAATTGTCGGCGCGTTTATACTTATGACGGTTTGTGAATCACTGCCCAGAATGATATTAGACTGAACAAACAAAAAACGCTACTGTAAAACCATAGAGCATGAGTTTTTGAGACAGGTCAAAATTCACAAAAGTTTCATGTCGCAAAAAAAATAGTTGATTGATAAAACGACCAACATTATTTTTTTCAAATTCATAACTTGCAATATTTCTTGGAGCAAATAAAACTGGCCATAACAATTCGTGACACAAATCTGTTGTAAAGTCTCTGGGCAGATTGCAGGATTTCGATGATTTCTGATCGATTTAGAGTCACTTTGTCTGTGTGACTCCAAAGTTGATTCAATGGTTATGCAGTGCAGATGTAGAGAATATGAAGTTAATTAGGAATAGATCCTTATTCAATTTGATCATCATATTTGTGTGGGAATGATTTTGAATGTCAGCTTTTATTACATCTGTTAGCTTTGTCATATCATTTTTTGAGAATTAGTCATTGCATTGTTTGAATTATATCTTGTCATGTGGTTTTAGCAGTTCCATTAACAAGGTGTGTATGGTGGTTTGGGTAACGTGTGTCACTTGTATATAAGATAACTGAAAAATTACATTTGAAATTAGATAATTTACTTTTTGGACCAGAATATGATTTAAATGTTATGTTTCACAATGACTATAACTGTCTTTACTGTGAAGGAAATTATAGTTCAAATTTAGAGACCTGTATATACAAATTCCACAAATTAAAAAACAATATTCTTAATTATACAGTGACCACAAACAAACTGGTTAACTTTTATTGCTATCCCTTAAAAGTCTTTACTTAACTGGCCGATACTACAGAATCTACTCCTTGAATCTCCTATTATAATATTGAATCTCAAGTTGAAAAAAAACTGTAATTTGAAAAGACATCCTTTGTTTTAAGATGTACTATTTTAAGAAAGTTTCCCTACTTCTCAAGCATGACTCATTATCTCATGGTTCCTTGGTTGGTCCCAATAGAAGTCTAACAACCCTCAAAGTTTCACAACTCCCTCCATGACCCTTTCCTCTCAAGCAAATTAAATTGATATGGCTTGTTGCAAAGATCACCTGCAAAATTTTGTAGTGAAGGAAGGAAGGAAAACAAAATCAGTACTTTGGATCAAAGAGAGATTGACCTCTTGACCACCACCCCCCCAACAAAAATAAGAAAAAAGAAGAGAGATCTGGAAATTAAGGGAAAGGGAGAACATATAAATTATCTTAGGAAATCTTTTTTTTTTAAATCTCTTGAATAAGAAAGGTTCATTTCAAGTAAAAGCTTGTGTTTGTTTTGATGTCTGGGTAAGCCAACTTGGAATATTTTATGTAACAATATTTGGTTTGATTTAACTATAAACATATCCAGATTGCTGAGATCTATACACAAGAAAAGTTTGGGGGAAGGCACATGTGCTTTCATGTGTATTTTAAAGAAGGAGTTTGAGGCTTATCCAACATTTGCAAAGTGAGGAATACCTTAAGAAATCAGGAGAATTTGACTGATTACCGTATGTTGACTTAGCAAACTTTTTTCGAATATTAGAATCAGAGGGGAAGACGGAGACTAGTCAGTAATGATTTGATAAGATTTCTGATCGTCTTCGGGGGAAATAAAGAATAAAGATGGTTGTAGTAGATGTACATGCAGGCATGCTCTATGACTCATTGGTTGCAGTATCTTTATATTATTCCTCTCCTGCTTCCTTTAATTGAAATCATTAGGAGAGAGAGAGAGAGAGAGAGAGAGAGAGAGAGACTGATTCGTCAGGTTCCCCCAGGGACCTCGCTCCAAGTCCATCTCAAGAATAGGATTGATCATGATTGTGACTCTGCATTTTAATCCTTTTTATTCATTATCTCACCACTTGTTACCTTTGTCGGCAACCTCGTGGTATGGTATCTTATAGTATGCGGTGAGATTTGATAGTCGTGGGTAAAATGAAGGAGGGAGGGTGGTGTATCAAAGATTTGTACCTACAAATGCATGTACTTTTGTTTGTTTATGAAGCATTGAATGGCCAATCCCAAATTATTTATCTGAATTATTAAGTTGTTTCATTTTTCTTGGTATGAATATAAGAATGATATAGAAGTAAAAATTACTAAAAGAAGAGACTTCTCAATGATTTCTTCAAGTACAAAATGGACACATTACTTATTTTGCAAAAGACAGGTTTTTATGAGTTTTCTGTGAAGGTGTTACTCCTTCTGTAATTATAGTCTTACTAAACTTGATTGTTTATTTGGTGAACAAGGCATTATTTTCTTATTGTTATGGAAGCATCTTTTGAATGTGACATCAGTGTGGATTTGAATGATTGTTTCTCTATATCTTATGAACCTCTATTGCTATGGAAACGTTTATCTTATCCTTGTTCTTCTGTTACGCATTGATGATGTCTTTCCCTTTATGCTAATTAACTTTCAACAAGATTTCTTTCCCTACATGTGTTTGTGCTATTAATGTGGCTTGTGTTGTCTGTCTGTCTGATTTATGTGCATGCTCCTTGGAATGCATCCATCTTACACCATTATATACAAAGCTTCTTCATGAGATGTTTTCTTCTCATATTTCATCTCATTTATCCACCCTGCGCTGTAAATGTAAATCAAATTCATTTTTGTTATTGTTTTTATAAATGGTTCATTTGATGTTTAATTTTTATGAAGTAAGTTATAAAGGAGATAAAGCCAGCTATAAGGGTGTAATTTCTGCTGCAAAATAATTTTGACGAATACATATTAGAGCTGTAATTTGTCATATATACTTTTGGTATTAATTTTTTACCACAAATTTTGAAAGGGAGGAATGCTGTCGGGGTGCTTGTGTTTCATGCTTTAGATTATACATTTTAGAGCCATCAATAATCATATTTTATCTATATTGTCCTACTTTTAAAATTTTCTTTTAGATAGTTGACTTTTATACTTGATTCTTCCACAGAGCCGCTCAAATTACCAGGGAGGACGGAAGCAGAGGTACAGACCAAGCAGAGCGCCCCCAACGAAGACTTGAAGCGTAGTCTGCAGGAGAGAGAAAACATTATCAAGCTACTTCAGACGGAGCTGGAGAGACAATCACATGAGATATCATACCTCCGTAACCAAGGCAACACATTCAAGAGAGCGAAGAGCTTCTCAGCTAGGGATAGAACATATGTAAGTCTGGCTCTCCCCCTCCTCCCCTTTCCCGCCACTCTACATACAAAATAAAGTTGGAAAAAGAACTTTCTTTTCTTGACCCCAATGTCGCTAATCATCTTCTGTCATATGAGAACATATATTCTTTAAAATTAGCAGTCAAGTTTTGAAAGTAAGTACGATCAAATAATTATATCAACATTGAAAAAATATACCCTTTCCTCTCTAAAACTAGAGGAAGTAACCTGAAATAGTGTTGAATATGATAATGGTTATTGTGTTCCACATACATGTATATGATAAATGTATCCTGTGTAATAGTAAATATTTTATCTAATGAGTGGAAAGTGAAATTAAAGACCTTTTGAATACATTTGTTAAGTGCATTGATAATCTCAAAAGTTCATTGCAGGTGGCTATGCTTCACATGTAAAATGTGCATTATACAAGAATAATATTATAATGATGAATATCACCATTACTGATGATGTTACTTGGTTCACAGAATCCCACCCACCGAGAAGCATCCTTAGGATGGAATCCTGGTCTCCAGAGGCACAACGTCAAAGACTCAGCATCAACCATCTCCATCTCAGAGTCAAACGATTCCAGACAAGATGGCGCCCCATCCTTAGAAGCTCTTCATATCTCTGGTAAGAGTCATCTATAGAATCAGCTTTCCACCTTTTCTTAGGGCTTGGGCCATTTTTATAGTTTGGTTACTGCTCTCAACCTAAGAACATACAGATATAGCTTCATAGATTAATGTTCTTTAAGTGCTGTCCTTTCACTCTAACCACTTTCTCTGTGTGATTGTGATTGATATTACTGTTAAAAAGTGTTTAGCCTTAAATAGTTATATCCTAGATATATTATTTAGGTATATATATTGTTTGTGAAACACAATCTCCATTCCCTTCCCCTACCCAATTTGGTTTCCCTTTGTTATGGGTCAGATAATTATAGTTTAGCTTTATAATATTTGAGTAATCTATGTATGTTAGTAATAGGGTTGAGTTTGAGTATTCTATTTTCTTTGAGGGAAAAGAACTCTCTGATGGGTTCAGTAGCCCTATATGGCGGCCAGCGAGGTCTTAGTGAGTGATTGTAACATTATCATAGTAACCTTTAGATATGAGGGGGTCATGTCTGGGGTGATGAAAGACCCCCTTCCTGAAACCCTCTTTACCCCTCCTCACAGGAAGGTTGAACAGACGGCAAGCTTAGGGTACTCTTAGGAGAGACCTGGGAAATTAATCTTTCTCTCCCTCCCTCTCTCTCCCCCTCTCATTTCCTCCTTCCCTCCCTCCTTCTCACTCTCCTTCTTGTTCTCCTCCCTCCCTCCTTCCCTCCCTTCTTCCTTCTTTCTTTCCTTCTCTCCTTTCTTCCCTCTCTCCTTCCTACCCTTCTTCCCTCTCCCCTTCCATTTCTCCTCCCCCCCCCTCTTTCCCTTTCTCCTCCCTCTCTCTTTCCCTCCTTCCCTTCCTCCTTCCTCTTCTCCTTCCCTTTTCCCCTCACTATGTCCCTCCCTCCTTCCCTACCTCCTTCCCACTCTCCTTCCCTCCCTTCCTTCCCTTCCTCCCCCTTCATCTCTTCCTCCTTCACTTCTTTTAAATCCCTTGTCAATCTAACATAAATTTGTATTCATTTATCATACTTCTTTTCTTCATTCCCCTTTCTTTGTAATCTTAAACATTGAGTGGTGGTCTTTGTTACTACTCATAGAACAGATGAGACAATATTTGGTCAGGCAAGATAACAGGCATGACTCTATCAGGTATCAAAAGGATGCTCATAAGATTGTTCCTCTTTTCATTGCAGCTGAAGATATTAGTATGGAGGTTGATTCAGTCAAGAAGTCTGCTCAGAGCTCCAGGAATACATCAGGATCATCCACAAGTAGACAGGTTAGTCCAAGCTTTCAAGATCCTTTATCTTTCCATACTGCACTCTACAACAACATTAAGGTATTTTTTCCATATTGCTGATTGTGATATGTTCCATTAATTTCCATTTAATAAAGAAAATTGCAGGCAATATTTAAGGTGAAGAAGAAAGAAATGTTCCCATTTTAGGGCATTACAATAAAATAAAAAAATTAAAAAATGTGTGGTATCTCACACTTTAGACAGTGACCTCTATACTTATGTGTCCTATGTGCACATGCAACCTACTTCAGTTGGTCATAATTTGAAATCCATTTTCCAATCATTATTAGAATGCTCTAAACTCTGTTATGACTTCTGTGCATTGTCTTTACAGAATGCATCCAGTACTAACAAGGATTCAGACACCAAATCGTACCCAGGATTGTACGGACCAATTGAAACATCAGCCAGGAGAAGGCGAGGCAACGATTACACTGAAGAGACTGCTGCTGGAAAAACTAAAGCTACCACACAACAGAAGAAGGAAGTTGAGAAAGAAGCAGAACAAGCAAAGGATGAGTCTGTAGATGAGGTTGTTGTAAGGAGAAGAGCTAGACGTGAAGCCAGGAGGAACGTGAGATTAGGAATCAACTCTGCCCAAGACAAACCGTCCATTCCAGAAACCAAGGAAGAAGCCAAACCTGCTCAAACCAAAGCAAAAACTGATAAGACAGTTTCCAAATCATCTGGTCTTAGCACTCAAGTCAAAGCTCAAGATAATGTTTCTGAGAGTCCACGTGTCCGTCGTCGACGTGACAGACAGAGTGGTCATAGTACCCAAAGCCCAACTGAAGCACCTGTGGAACCAGCGCTCAAACTGCCATTATCTCCTAGGACTAAAGATCGACAAGAGAGGGAGGTATTCTCAGACACAACGAATGACAGTGAGCAAGAGTCCATCTCTTTGAGATCCGATACTGATATCAGGAGACGTTTTGAAAGTATCTTGGCCCATCGCCGCAGAGAGTCCTCAGACTCTGTCAGCAGCTCACGTAAAAGCTCTCCTTCAGGAAGGCTCTATGACTCCAACTTCTCCAGGACAAGAACTAATGGAGATGTTCAGAATCTGAGAAAGAAATTTACAGGGAGCACACCTAATGTTGCTCAAGCTGGTCCTGTGAAGCAGAAGAGCAAGTCACTCAAATATGAGAAGGAGAGGCCAAGAGAAGGTTCTGTCAAAGCATTAAGCCAGACCTTTGGTTCTGGAGATGAGAAGAAACCTGATGGAAATTCTAATAAGTCCTCTCCTAGAAGTTTATCACCAGCTTCTTCCAGTGGTTCTTTATCAACTGGAATTGCAGATAAGATCAAAAAGCTTAAAAACACAGAAGAGAAGCCTCTTGAAAGGCGGAAGTCTGCTGATCTGATCAAAGCTCGAGTGGCTCAAATGGAGCAGACTAAGGAGACTTCTTCAGAGTCTTCTCAGAGAAAGTCCATGCCTGCTATCCGAGCAGTCAGGAGCAAGTTTGAAAAGAATGGAAAACAGGACACTTCATTGTCACCCACAAGGAAGGCTGCAGCAAAGATCTCCTACACCGTCTCTGTGACTGATAGTGACAAAGAGAATTCTGAGTCATCAAGAGCAGATGATAGGTCCTACAGACAGAAGTCTAAATCCTCAAGACTAGTGGCAGTTGTAGAAACATCAGACTCTAAGAAGAAGCCGGATACCGTAACGTCGTTCACCGTCAACCCACATGGGAGAAGACGGTATGGGGCAATGGCCGATAACAAGAACAATAGCAACAGTAAAACTGCAGAACCACAAGTCACAGAAGATATTGCACAACCAACAAAGACTGAACCACAGAAGAAGGATGATGCTAAGACTGTGACAACCAAGGAAGAAGTAGAGAACAAAGAGCCCAAGACAGCAAGTGGAAAACAGGAAGAAGATGCCAAGGAAGGGCGTAGGAGAAGGCGTGAGAGACATAAGGCTTCTGAGGCAAACAAGAAAGCACAAGAAACTTCCAAACCAGAACTTGCCAAGCCAGAACCAGAAAGACAAAGTTCAAAGAAGAATGAAACAAAGACAGAAGAACCACCAAAGACAGCTAAGAAGGAAGAGAGCAAGCCTGAAATCAAGGCAGAAGAACCACCAAAGAAAGCTGAGAAGGAGGAGAGCAAGCCTGAAGTCAAAGCTGAAAGTGGAAAGAAAGGAAGGAGAAGAAGGCGCGGAAAGGGTCAGTCAGTTGATATTCCTGATGAGCCAAAGCCAAACACCCAGAACAAATCAAAACTTGTAGCACAAGAGGAAAAAGAGAAGGAAAAGGAGAAGGTAGAGAAAGAAAAGGAAAAACCAGAAAAGAAATATGAAAAGAAGGAAGATGTAACAAAGCCTTCAGAGAGGCACATCCAGAAGAAAGATAAGGAGTCCACCTTGACTGCTCTCAAAAGAATGGTCAGCAAGAGAGAAGAGACCAGACCAGAGGTCAAGGTTCGAGACCCAACCAGGGCAAGGCTTGAGGCTGGGAATAAATCAAGCAGTATAGACAGCATAGAAGGCCAAGACTATCCAGACCTATTGGCTCAGACCAGGCTGCATGATAAGGACAAGGGGAACTCACAGGATGAAGGGAACGGCAGGCGACGTCCTCGGTCCATGGTAGCTGAATCTGGTCTGAAGGGAGCTGCAGCAGCCTTTGGACAAGCTCTTCCAAAACCCACAGAGAATGAAGAAAAAGAAAAGGAAAAAGACAAAGACAAGGAGAAAGAGAAAGAGAAGCCAAAGGAGGCAGAGGAAGACGATCGACGTTCAAGGAAGGAGACCACCCGTAGAGGGCGTTTCCTCGCCAAAGCAGATAAGTTTGAACTGTTCCGGAGAGCGAGGTCTGTAGGACCAGGATCCAAGTCCAAAGACAGATCCCCAAGTACAGAAAGGAAGTCCAAAGGAATGAGATCAAGCTCCATTGATAGGTCCAAGATGAGGGCCAAGTCTCCTGAACTTGGGAAGAGCAAGAAGAAAGGCGGATCCATCGGAGGGTTCCTCAAGGCTTCCAAGTAAGTCCAAGCTATCAATTCATTGCGTCTCATTTCTAGAAAAATAGCTAGCAAGCATGTAACAGAGACTGTAATAATCTTTCGTATTATTTTGTTCTTATTGCATGTTGCATGTTAATGTAAATGTAGTTATCAGCCATGTACAGTATATACGTGCAAGTACTTGTGTGAACCTTAAAGTAGACCCCTTTCTGTTATTTAGGCAGGAAATCACGTCCAATGAATTTTTGTAAATTTCAGTTCAGTTCATTTCAGTTCATTTTTATTTCTTCTTTCACAAACATTTGTACATAGAATTTCAAATAAAGTTACTGGAACAGCAGATTTTCAATGTAACAAACATAATTTGAAGCGCAATAGTAACGTTCAACATACAACTCTTGTTATTACCTAAAGAAATTCTATAAAAAAGTTACTTATGTAGGATCATGTTCTGTACATGAAAGAAAGGGGTTACCTTATTGAAGCTGGGCTTGTTAGAGCAAGGTCCCCAAACAGAATATAATATCTGAATGCTTAAATTTCTTTGAATAAAAAATACACTGTGATCACAAATAGTTCTCTTTTTGCTCATCGTGAAACAAAAGTGTTCCGCCAGTTAACCAAGAAACCAGATTTTAAAACTTAAACTCTACCCATGACTTAACAGCTCATCTTATCTTTCAGTAACCAAATTATTAGGATTTTCATGTCATTGATATTATAGTGTTGCTGATAAAAATTATTATTTTGAAGCGTTAGTCTGTTGATGATCGAGACATAGATAGATGTCCTAACTGATCCTTCCTGCATGTATGTTGCATGTTCTTTACCTCATTATCCATGTTGCATGTAGCTCTGAAACTGATGACGAAGATGATGACACAGAAGATGACGACAGTGAAGAATACGATAGCGACGGTAGTTTTGATGATGATGACGTCGATGATGATGATGATGACGATGTTGATGACGACTTATGGACCGATATGGAAGAATGTTACAAGATTCTTTTCAACTGCCAAAATGTCCTCTCCAAGCTGCATTGCAGAGAGAGACGGCACGCCCTCACTTGGCCAATATCGACCATGCGGCAGGCAGCCTTGCTAAGCTGATGTAGCCAGCCATCATCGATCCATTGTCATCGACTTCCATTTCAATGTCCTACTCATCATCCCTGTCAACTTTGCATGTTCTTAGCCTACCAAGCTTGCCACTTCTATAGATTTGCATTAGAATTTTAAGACTGCATCTATGTTCTGCATGAACTCCTTGTTCAAAGAAAGGTATGTTGACATATTTTGCATTTATCTTGTAAGCTGATTTCTGTCTTAATCAAGAAAGATAGAAATCAAACAAAGATTAAAATGCTGATGGATTCTTTCTGGTCTCAAAAGTGGTTGAATTTAGGCAAAAGTATGTAATATGTATGACTCTACATATTACAATTTTTTCTCTCGATGCTAATTGTGTTCATTTAATCAATTTTAGAAAGAAACCATGCACTACATTTATATCACCACAGTACTTCATATGAATCATATCACTTTGAGAATGATGAATTTCCAGAATTTGATATTGTAGAATCATTGATGATCAACTTACTTAGTTATTGATTTTCTCTTCATGATCACTTTTGTCCCTCATAGAGTCTGAAGAAACTCCTGGAAACACAAGACTACACCAGCCTTGTTTGGGATTCACCATTGCTTGATGAACATGACCGGAATCATGTGACTAGCATGTCACATGACCTGTCATGTGATGAGGCAACATCAGTGCTGATGAAATGGCTGTCGGCCCATTTAGAATCATGCAGCTTTGGAAGGCACCTGACATCACCGTTATGTCTCATGATCAAGAATCGGCACTAACGATGAAAATGACGAACATGCCGGGAGTTCCTGCGCTATACGAGGTCTGATGCTGATAATGTTGACACATCTTTTGACGTTTATTTGATTTATGCACTGTACATAATCAATACACAGAATCAATAGTTTTCTCAAGTCATTTATAGTGTTTGTATTCAAGAAACAGATCTTTTGAAGAAGAAAAAAGTTTGTAAATGCTTGCTTGTCGCCACCAAAAATGTTTTCATTATGATTACCGGCCGGTAGGTTCTGTGAATAGCACAAGGCATCTGGTGCTGTATATGTTCACTAAATGATTTAGTTGCTAAGAGAACAGGGCATCGTTTTGTGAAACCATAATTTTACAAGTTTGCCAATATCCCATTGAAATGCTTGTATCAAAAGTAACATGTGTTGGCAAACTTTTACATACGATGGTTTCATGATATGATCCATGCCCAGACCTTTTAAGATAAGGGTGTTTATGGTGATGAAGAAAGCACTGATCATGGTGACTTTATGATGGAGACCAATTGATCAGGGGCGTTGAACCCAGGTGCTGGAAGGGGAGGGGGTTGCTTGTAGCCCTACTATTATAAAAAGTTTGGCTTCATATAGTATACATTGAATTCTACCAATCAGTGTTTGCCCCCCCCCTCCCTCCTTCAAAATGGTGGACCAATGCCCCTGCAGTTGATATTGGGATCTTGATTGTGAATATGAGATGGTTTGATGATGATGGTGGTGATGATGATGATGGCTTCTTGTAGCACAGTAGTATCTGCTTCTGCTGATATGTCGCATATCGTCAACTCCCCATTTGACATGGAATTGCTTCAAATGTATTACCACATGTATGGTTAAAGAGTTGAAATCAACAGATACAGAAAGTAATTTCTGACATTTTAGTGTTTTAATGTATGCCAGTTGTACTGCCTTCACGCTGCTGGAAAAGGAAAGTCATGAATATGGAAAACAAAGCCATTGTTTTCTTAAGTAGAAAATTTGATCTATTTTGAAGTAAATTTGAGCTGTTTTTAGTGAGGTCTTCTCTTGACACCTCATCTGCAGACGGTCAGAAAGGCTTTAATCCATGTATGCTTTGATGTTGGGTTAATACCTTTCTGGCTTGTAGTATATGATATGCACATACTCTTGTCATCATGAAAATGTAATCATTGTAATATAAGTATTTGAAAAAGTTATGAAACTTTTGTATAAATCTGATCTTAATAAACTTGTTCCCTGTCAAAGCTTTTTGAAATGTAACTGCTTCGTGAAGGGATATTTAAATGTACATACCAGAAAGAGTGTATTTTGAAGAGATTACTTTTATCAATGTATTGGTGTTGAATTAATTGAATTATCATATTATGTAAATATATCTGAAGCAATAATTATACATAACTCCCATCCATTTGTATTCATCAAAAGTACATTTTTATAAAATTGGTGGTCGTTGTGTAAATTTGAAAGATTGTAAGTTTGAATTTTGTAAATTTTGTATATTTTGTAAAACGTCAGAAGGAATTAGTCATTTTGACCTCATAATGCATGACTCAGATACTTGTAGAGATTTTTAGGCCCTTTAATTAATAATATGATGAAAAAACAGGTTAAGTGTTATTTTGTAAGAGTTTTCTTTGTTAAGGAGAACTTTATAGATTGGATATGAAGTTTGAATAGTGATTACTTGAAGTTTATAGTACAAAACCTAAGGAAAAGGGAAATAATTGATGGAGGCATTTGAAGAGTCATTGACCAAATTAAATGTTTCATGTTATATTAGATAAGACATCTCATATTTTGTCAAACAAAGAATTTTTTTTGCTAACCTCCTTTGATACATTTTCCAGTGTCTGCTGTTCCTTTTTATTTAATAGTTGACATGTTGTTATGTTTTATGATGTTATGTTGTGACAATAATTTGATGTATTTTCAAAGTTATTGTCTGTTAGAAATCTTGCCTTTTACATTTCTTTTATCATTGCTGTAAAAAATAAAGATATATAAAATAAAAATCTATGCAATTTGCGTAAAACTGCTACCTCAAATCATGCAAAATTAATTGCGTTAAGTGATTGGAAAGTTAGCAACTTTGCTCCATGCTTACTTTTGAAAGTGAAGACTATAAAGTATTTCACAATCTTGAAGAGCAGGTTCTTTGTAGCATTTGATTTTTTGTCTTTTATTCTACAGAGAAATGTTATTCAAATTCTGAAACTAGTAAAAGACGGTGCAGATGTTATTTTGCATATATTATTTACTCTGAAATGTATACAACTTATGAGAAGGAAATGTAATTCTATCGTTGACTTTAGTTTTGGTTACCTTTTTGTTCACATGTATTGACACCAGTTAAACCAGTGCCTGTATTTGAAAGTGCCTTTGAACGTTTAGGACAGAATATATGCAATTTTTAAAGTTATGATTAAAATAAAATGCAGGATAGCTGAGGAAGAGGTTATGCAAACCAGCAGAAATATATTTTTATACACGCAATAGCTACAGATTGATTATTTAAGCAGTACTTTAGAATCTCAGAGGTTTATGATCTCATGTTTACTCAGCTTGTTTTGTCAGGTGCTAATGGTTTGTTGTAATTTAAACATTGTTACATACATGAAAATATTATTATTTTGAATGTATATTTTGTTTCTGATGATTGTATTGGCTATTATAGAGCATGATTTCTGATTGTGTGAATTTGATATGATTTAAGCCTCAGGAGGTTTAGTATTACTTAGTCTTAGTATTAATTCATTGGAAAGATTCTGCTCACTTAGGAAAAAGTGCTCTCTTCAGCTGGGCTACACTGATATTTAGCTGGTCATTTTCGGGGTATTTTTATCCGAAGGTTGAATGTGCAAGAAAAGGGTACATACTGAAATAATAAATGCAAAGTTGAGGAATATTCATAAGAATTATTGGAAGTGAAGGCCTTTCTATTAAGGGAGGGGGTGGGGCTTGTGTCTCAAAGTAAAATTCTCTCTCTAGATATGATTTTGGCTCAGTCATTTAATGGATATTCAATTTAAACATTGCCGAGGACAGATTGAGAGTCTGTTGTAAGTTCAAAAGGGTGCTAAATCTTTATTCTCTAACACAGAATGTATTCCCTTTGGTTCTCAATAGACCCAAAAAATTAAAGGATCAGGAATATTTTGTAAAGAATTTGAGGTAGAATTATGAAATCCAGTCTGTCAGGTCAGTAATTAATTGAAGTTAGGTGATTTGTTTTTGCTCAAGATTTGTATATTTGATCCATTTGTATGATCTTTACATTCATTTATTTGGTATTTATTTAACTATAGACATGATCAGGCATCTTTTGACCTGTTTTCGCATTCTCTCATACTTGTTGTTGCCATGCCAATCTGTATATAATACTGTTCACCAAGAAGGCAAGTTGACTGTATATTTTAGGGCATGATTTTATAACAGTTTGAGAAGTGCATTGAGATGCTTTGAATTCTACAACAATCTTATTTGTATGTACCTGTGTTCTAAATATATTTTATTCTCCTCATAATATCAGCCTAAAGCTGTCCAAACTAGATTTCTAAAAAGACAAGCAAGTTTATTTTAAGAAATTGTTTAAAATAATGTGATTGTAAAGGTAGGCAAGCGATTATGATTAGCGGGAGAGTATGTATTTGTTTCAGTTGTTCCCAATTTGGTGTCCAATCTCACTGTATCCTGATAATATTCATACACTACCTACCATATATGTTATATTGTTAAGACAGCTTGATACAGACAAGTACCAGGTACAGAAAACTATTGTTGTACCATCAGCAGTCATTCAAAATGTTCTGGTGATAATTACTTCTTTTGTCTGCTAATAGCCAGAAAGGGATTAATATATATACCTTTTATTAGAGAGTCAATGTCTTCCTGATTCTATGTTGAGATTGTGCATTTTGCCATTGCGCATTGGTGTTACATCTAAGCTTTACATGTTGCTGAGCACATACATATATAAAGCAACAAGAAATACCTACCTTTTGAGAGTTGGTCAAAAGGGCCTAAAGTAGACTTCAAAGTTGATACATTTTGCTTCTAAATCATATTAATTTGTATCTACTGAAATTGAGGTATAGATTATCATCACAATTTAAGGCTATGGAAAAGTTATTGTTTATCTTATATTAGCATGCTCTTCCATCTTTAATATAAGTGAGTAGGAGATACACTAAGAATATATTTGTTATTGCACTTTGTGTCTGAAACCGTAAACTGGAGCGAAATAGTATATATTTTATTGACAACTACTGGGCACTTTTGTAGTAATTTGAGATAAATGTGCTTCACAGAGAATATGACCGATTGTGTGGATTGCTTTATTTCTGCTGCTGTGTAAGCCTACAATAGTACAATAGTCATTGGCTGTCAAAAGAGTTATCAGAGAGAGGATGGCGAGATGAAGAGAAACATGGGGAGATTTAAAGAGAGAGAGAGAGATGGAAAGATATATGGAGCAATTGAGAGATAAAGAGGAAGATGGGGAGAGAGAGGCCAAGTGCAAACAATAAATAACACAAGAACAGAAGAAATTCACACATGAAATTCTTTATTCAATAATTACTACCTCAATTAAAACCAAGAACAATACACAATTTTGACTTAATTGATTAAATACATATCCTCAAAACCATTTAAATTGCAAACAAATATGTAAGCATCTTGCTTAAGTGATAATGCAAAGATGGGAAAATCAACAGTGATGAAAAATAATGCAAAGCAATAACTCGTTCAAATAAATCAACAATCAACAGACCATGGAGCTTTGTCCACAATCAATTAACATTCCTTTGAATTTGGCTAATAAAATATATCTTCAGTGGAAGTATAATAAGCAAACTTTATACGCTAAATCTAATGTATTTGGGGAATACACATATATTTGTTGCAGAATATACATTGATTCGCTTACTAATCATGATTTGTCAAATGCATACTTGCTAGAAGTTAACGTATAGGAGCTACTTGTCCATTTATAAATAATGTTAGTTTATTACCTTATATAAATAAGTTTTAAAATGTAAATAAGTCCTAATTACTTTAAAATATGAATAAGTCTTAATTGCTTTATGGGAATCAGTACAAATTACCATACAACATACAGTGTATATGACTGCTAGTAAGTAAACAGTGAAGTAGAATTCATCTGTGTCGTAACGACTTTAACTGGGCCTTAACAATTGTTTTTAAATCTTGAGAAGATGAGCTGAAACAATCAAGTAAAAAAGGAGAGAATTTGGTGGAAAAAACATGTCAAATTTAGCAAACGAGAAGGAGCACAAATAGGCATGCATGATGGCAAGGAGAAATAAGCAATTATTACTTAGACTTGCTTACCAGGCACTTGATTAAACACACTTTTATTTCTACTCCGAAAGTGTGTTGCAAGGTCAATAAACTTTTCACTTTCTCCTCCTCCTCATACATTTCAATCTGCAAATACATTGACAAATTGCATTCTATATGTATATGTACATACAGTAACTCTTTTGGTGCTATAAATTGTTTAAACTGCCCAATTTTTTATATTGCATTTAATATTTTGGGACAAATAAATGCATGTTTTTGTTTTGTTTTTCCATCATCAAAATTCAGATCAAGATCCTCAATGCAACATTAAGTTGATGAACAAAGATAAGGAGCCATGTGATTAACAATTTTTCTCATCAATCTTATTCTTGATGCTTGTGTGTAAACTTTGTGGCACTGTAACGGTTCAGTCTTAAGTTAGAATATTAAAATGTAGTACCAATACTTCCCTTTGCTTATATCAGCAATTATATAATACATGAAAGATTTCAGAATGGTTATGAAGTCTACGAAGTGAATACATATATACCGACTAGGCACATCTATGTGTACATCAGTATGAATATAGATCTCAAATGACCGTCTACATATACAATGGTTTAAAACTTAAATCTTACATCTTACAATTGTAAAAATACACTAAAGGTTTCCCACAGTTCAGAGTTCCCTCGTGATTATTTAGAAAGCACATCCGAATTTGATAAAAACCCACATCTTTTGGTTTTTGTTTACAATATCATAAGCTCACTGCAAGAAGGTCTCAAGTTCTATTTCAGAGATTATGATATTAGCCTCTTTGAAACGGACTCTCTACATTTCTTTTCAAATGATGCATCCCCTTCACAAAAAGACACAAATTCCATTAAAAAAAAACAATTTGACAAAAAGACACCACTTTAGAAAAAGATAACCACTTCACAAGATAAATATTGTAGGTTTGGATCCAGAAGGGTATTAACTCTGTGTTAAAGTATATGAGTTAACGCCCTTCTGCGTCCAACCATACCATATGTGTGAGGATCCTCTTTTTTTTTCCTGCAGAACTGCAATAAAAGTAATTATTGTGACATCTTTTTAAAGCTGTATTTGTGCTTTACAACAGGTAATACATGACTTCTAAGACACTTTAATATTACAAAGTGACCGGTGTTACCACATACATGTAATTACAAGGCTTTCTGTGATAAAACGCTTGATCAATGAACAATAGTTTGAACTACTGGTAGATCTCTTCTTGAGCATTCGCTAAAGATCACAAAAGGCCTGCTATACATCAGGGCTCATATTCATAAAACCTTACTATGCCTAGCTCATTGTGACTAAATCTGTACCATAGTAAATAGTACCTCTGTAAATTAGTCGACGACTAGCTTTGTAAGGTGTTACAAATATGGGGCCAGATCATAACAAGATTCACAAATACTCTTAAAACCAAACAGTTCAGAAAATAGACAAATGTACAGTAGCCAAATGTACATGTGTTTTAGTACGTGCTTAAACAGGACAGACAATGTAATAACATACAAATACAACAACAACAACAACTGACAAGACAAAACAACAGGTGGAATGAAATAAAGAAACATTATGTATAATGTACAAGTTGCGATTCGTCATCTGCTTTGACGACATATGCTCTGGGATATATTCTATGAAAGGTATGGATTTCAGGCTTGGTTAGCAATGGAGTTTCAGGTCATTTTCAGGGCTAGGGTTAGGATTAGGGTTCGGGTTACATGCAGGTTTAGCATTGAGTCAAGGATTGAAGTTAAAAACTTGCCCAGGTATAGACAGCAGAGCAATTCTTCCCAGAGCATAATGTCTTACAACAATATTTATGAGGTGAGATAAGGAAAGGTGGTCTCTTTGGGATAATACATTTTCTTGTACAAGGTGCACACATATTTCTTGTAAAACTGTATGGATAACAACTCTCAAAGTCTAAAGGCTGAAACAGTGGACTTTGGAACATGTTTTACAAGTTTTTAAGAAAGGCAAATTGTCTATAGAAAATCTAATCCATCTCAGTGCCTTGCAGAATCGAACCTACTCGTACATACCACAAACCTTTACAAAATACATCTTAATTACATATATAATTACAGTGACAAGATTAAGAGAAACTTGAATTATCAGCTTTTAAACATTTTCTACAAACTTCCATTTTTAGACATATCTTCTACTTCACACGTTCTAGAAATAGACTTCATAAAATAAAGATAAAATACACTATCAAATCCCTCTCCATCAACTTTAGTATCAAAATCTTCTATGTTACTTTCTGTCTGTTCAGAGCCAGAAGGTCGTTTACTCTGACAAGTTTGTGAGTTAATGCCCTTCTGGCCCCAAACAGACCAAGTTTTTTATTTGATGGAAAACACAGGTCCATCTAACCCCTTTCACAAGTACAGTAAATTCTAAGAATAGAATGGAACTTTGTTTTCTTTATACTATACAACCGAACATAAAAAAGTGTACTGTACACATGTCAATTGCACGTTATGTAACATTAAACTGTTTGTGTCCAAAGAAGCCACCATGTGAGACATTCAATCTACCATACTGTACTGTAGTCAAATATTGTTACATATAATGGATTCTGTCTTGAGCATCTAAATCAAAGCAAGACTTCCTTAGAATATTGCTTCAAATTTAGAACAAGCAAAGTTTTGGGAAGAAAAAAATTAACCCTGCACCGCCAAATTTTTGCTCATTGTACATTGCGGTACTAGTAACCGACTGTTAGGACTAGAAAGTATTAAGTCCATGGAGTTAGCACCTTCTTGCCATCATCTGATGACTTCATAATATCTTATGCCTCGAGTGTGAAATTGCATCTTGTTACTGTAGGAACACACATTACATATTTACTTATAATCTATGCACCGATCTATTGTATAAGCTCTCTTCCAAACACTATCTATTCAGTACTGTTCTATTAAATAGTGTTAAACACAAATCTTTTAAAAGACTAATGAATATATCTGAATCTACTCTAGGTAAAGCAATGTTACATTTTATGAATACGGTGGTTAGCCATATGATTGCACAAATCATGTTTTTGCTTACTTTAAAAACAATGAATAAGTTAGAATGACTTTATGTGAAAACTGTAACATTACAATAACAAATTAATCACAATAAATGAAGAGAAAAACATATGACTGACTAAACAAATACAAGTTGAATAGTTAATATTAACTCAAGGAAAATACAATACACAAAAAAGTGATTTATATTAGTAACAGGGAATTCAAGAAAGAATAAGTGACAAATGTAATTTGCACTGATAAGTTTCCAAATGTGCATGAACCAGTCAAAAAGAGATTAGTGGTTTAGTAAACTGCTACAACTACAAGCCAAATAAAACAAGGAAATTAATGAAAAGACATATTTTAATAGTGTTAAAGCTGGTATAGACTGTCACATTTTGTCTTCAACAAAATGGAACAGCAAGAGAAAGGAAACATATGTTACATTATCGTTGAGATGAAATGTAAAAAAGCAGAAACAGTACATGCAAAAAATCATGCAGGCAGTAGAACATGCAATAGGAGTGTTAGTCATAGTCATAATAGTAGTTAGAATAGTAGTCTTTTAAGAAGTACAGTCGGGCATGAAAGTTTACATACACTTGGAAATTTAAAAAAATTACTTGCATTCTCACAACTGCACTCATTCCTATCAAGAGTCACATACGTGTATATAAACTTCTCAGAGTGATTATAAGTAATGTTTATACTATACACTAAACAGAGACAAATCTTGTCTTTCTTCTTAAAGTGACAAGTTGGCAGGTATTAGTGAAGTTGTGATAATGTGTTTTGCTTTTCTAATAGGTGCATGTAAACATTCAGGCCCAACTGGACATTTAGCACTAATATAATACATAATAGTAGAATCTAGTCTGTCTTGAAGTTAATAGGAGTAAAATTACCACTACAAGCAGTTGACATAGTACACAAAGATAAAGTAGTACACATAGAGAAAGCATACTTATAATACATGAATACTATATTGGGTAGTACTAGTTAAAGTACATATATACAGTACCAGAAAAGATGATAGCATGAAAGTACAAATAGTTGCTTGTTATAATTTCCACATGCACATTCCACTTAATATAGGTAGAATTAGAAATAAACTATATATGCAAATTGAACTTACACTCAAAAGAAAAACTGACAATAATGGATGGAAAACTTAAAGCGTCCGCTGAGAGCCAGAAGGGTTCTAAGTTCTAAAGTTTCCATAGACTTAACACCTCTCAAACTCTCAGAAAATAAAAAGATTTAATCATGAAGAGAAAACAATCTTGAATAGGATGAATGGATGGATGTAATAGATGTAAATAAGAATACCATCAAAATTGGAAGATGAACTCAGCAATTTAGTCATGAAAAAAAAAATTACTCTTGAATAAGATGGATGGATGAATGTGAAGATGCAAATAAGAATACCATCAAGATTGGAAGATAAACCAAAGTCTTGCAGCAAGATAAAACCTCTAAACTGTCATTTAATCATAAACCCTCCTTTTTTCAATATCTCAATAAAATTACATTTGAACTCTATCAAAATCTCTTGATCTGGTCAGTTGAGTGTTTCCTCTCTTGAGGGGTGTTCAGATGCTACTCTGCTGTAGCAAAGAAAGTTGATAATTCCTCTGTTTCATCTGCAGTTTGGAGCTAAGTGGATATTAATAAGCTGGCATATGAAGGATGTTGTATCCAAGATGGCCTCTGATCAATGAATAGCTTGGGATAAGATGCTTTAGGGTCACTTTGGGTCATCTCATAACAGCTGATAGTCCTGTAGAGGTCAAAAGAACAATGGATGAGAAACAATTATTCACAACCATGATCATGGAATAAATGATTCAATAATAGTCCCATTAATACAATTTAATGTTAACTGCTCTGTGATTGACAGTTAAAAATATAAAAGTTTGGGGTAAGTTGAGACATCATTTTGAGCCCTCCAATTTAAATTCCTGCCAAATCTATCCCACAAAAAAGGGTAATCATGCCAATGGATTAGGACACTTATTATACTGAATTTAAATTGATAATATTCTCAAATTATGATTACCGGTACTCAAAACATTGTACCACTGTATGTGTTTGAACTGTGTTCTTTAAATATTGTCAGAGTATTCAGAATCCAATGTATATCTTTTAAGTAAGGCTACAGGTACCAGCAAATTTATTCTCCAATACCGGTATATTCAATTTCAAAAAGGTGTCCTACAGATGTAAATTATCCTGTGAATTTTTAATATAATATATTACATTATCATATGATACATGGAGCTGTGCAATATTCTTTCCATGGGTTCAATTACAAGTAGCTATTTGAAATGCATACACATTCTATACATGTATTGGACACGGTGAAATGTCCTCAAATGTCCTTGCTCTCAACTGACTAAACTTTACGGTTAAAGTGATTCAAAATCTAATTTATCATATACGACAGTCATATGTTGAATGGGCTTCCTACAGTAAATGGACATGTACATGGACTATATGCTGATTTGTAGAGCCTAGATACATTTAGCCTACATGTATGTCTGATTTTGTAAAATGTATCTGACGATTCATGCAAATGTATCATCTGACTCTAAAGAGTTGAAGGTACAAATGTAAGATCTCCATAAAAGTTGGGGTCTTTTATACATGCACACACGCTTTGAAAGAACGTGGACCGCAGGATTTGGCCAAACAAATAGACTTTGCATTTCTAATCTCATTGACAAATATCCGGCATTGTCTGAATATTACCTCATGTATAGACATGGTCTTTTGTTTATTTTTTCTTTGCCTGTATTCTCCGTTTGTTATCAAGTCAAAGTCTGTACCATCACCAGACACCTATAACATGTGAATAACATGTTACTTTAAAACCCTGTCTATGTATGTTTGAAAACACGCAGGTTTCTTGTCTCAGATTTTTGTTTTAATAAAGCAAACCAAAGAATGAACATGTACTTAATATGATATTCAGATAAACATGTAAAAAAAAAAACTTGTGACATCTAAATGAACAGAAAACAAATATTTGGGGCACAATTTTGCCAATTGTTCATCACTAAGAAAATATAAATGCAAACTGCTTCAGTACACTGTACATGTATGTCTCATGTATGGGTAATTCCATAAATCAGGGACCCACTTTGTGAAATTTGTGGTGTCACTCTTACATTTAGAACCCACACATACCGGTATATTTGTGGCTATGAGTAAAGACTTATAGTGGAGTGAGATTGTTAAGTGATTCTAGGTATGAGAAAGCAATATTAGGCTGGGAAATCACTTTACAATCTCACTCGCACTATTTTTAAGACTTTACTCAGAGCCACAAATAAGTGTGGGTTCAATATGTAAGTGGTACACCAAAAGTGTTACAAAGTGAGTCCCTGATTTATATGTAGATGAATATCATGGTGGAAAATCACATGAAAATGAGAACACTTGAAAAAGTCTAATATTTCAATTGTGACTAGAAATACATGTATGTGAACAGGTGGCTTAAAACCATGGTCCAAAACTGATGCCATTTGTTAGCATAGTCCAGAGCTGCCAACCTTGTGCGACCAAAAAAAGGAATCATGATGGCAAAAAAAAGGAATTTCAAGCAAAAAAAAAGGAACTCATAAAAACGAAACTTACAACCACGCGCGACACACTTCCAATGCAGAAATGTTCTTTCATCGTGCTGTTTTTTTTCCATACAAGCAGGTAATTTTGTTGGTGGTTATTTGGTATTATCGGCATTTCATTCTTTTTGAGAATATTTTTCTCTTCAAGTATGTTTTAAATTAGTTTTCTATTGAATTTGTGATCACCATTTTAGGGCAGTTGTTTGACGTGTGGTATGTAAAAAAAAAAATTTAAATATTTTTAAAAAATTAAAAAAATTAAATTTAAAAAAAAAGTATTTTATGAAGAAAAAACGTACTACCGTAATTTGGAGGAAAAAACAGAGTAATTCCGGCAAAAACGGAGTAATTCCTGCAAAAACGGAATGGTTGGCAGCTCTGATAGTCCCACCTACTCAAATCTGTGGGTAGTGTTTATAACTGTGTGTAATTTTTGAAAGCAAAAGTATAGTCCATTTCTTTTCATTTTCAAAACCCCTATCATTACCATACTATAATATAATTGACCATTCAGAATAACCTCTAAACATTTCCTTTTCACGATCCCATTGCATGACTACCCCTCCCGACAGACATCACCTTTAATCTTTCAGTACAAAGATCTCACAATATATATGTCAAAGTATGTTAGTGCACGTACATGTATGCAAGATGAGTAGAGGATATGTGTTATATGCATTATACACATGCATGTAAATAATGTAAGCTGATATCCAGGATGCCTAGACTATCCCACACCATGACATGCAAAGAATTCTTACAGGGAAATTCACACAGGAGGGACATTCACACCGGAGGTAATAAAATCCATTTCAAGAAACATGATATAGTCTCATACGACATGTAAAGCGAAAGCATAGCACATGTACAGTGAAAGGCATGAACACACAGGATAATTATGTTGTATGAAAAAGCCATATCAAGACACTAGAGTTTAAGGGAGATTAGTTAAATAGTTTCCACTTTATGTGTAGTGGCAACTCATGTCATTGGGCATTGCTTAAGGTTATAAAAGATATCTGGTGCAAGTCATTTCAGTACATCCTCTTTATCAGCTCCATTTATATTTTTTCTGATTTTTTAATCATAGGCCAATGGACCATGATTCTTTATCAAGTTTTGTTTAAAACAATGCTTGTATTTTTCACGATTGTTTCACTACACAACATTAGAAGGAAAAAAAGAGAAATATATGGTTATACATGTACATTAAAATATGGCCATTCTGAATAGGGGTTACAGCAATTTGGCAGCCACCTTGTACACCGCCCCGCACTGATCTGACAAGCCAATATGAGAATGGTTGGTATTAAAACACTACCACAAAGAGAGAGAGAGAGAGAGAGAGAGAGAGAGAGAGAGAGAGAGAGAGGCAGAGAGAGAAACAGAGAGAGCGAGGGGGGAGATGCTAGGAGATATTAATGTTCAATAACATGCAATGGATTTAACCAGATGCCTCATCAAATTGGCAAGAAAAATGATTAAAATTCAAGATGGGAGGGGGAGTGGTGTGAAATAAAACATTTAATAGAGGGAAAACCATTAAAAACATACAGACAGAGGGGCAAGACAAGAGTAGGAGTAGGAGGTATGGGTATGTATAGGGATAGGAATTAGGGTACAATAAATATCAACACAATGGATAAATAAAGATGTAAAGAGATCTAGGTATTACAGTATTATAGAAAAACATGAAATGAAGTAGAAAGTGAGAAGCAGATCATAAGTCAGCAGGAAAATAATATCGGTGAGCAGGAAATAAAGGGGAGATGACTTTATAATGGTACGGAGAATAACTGAGAAATGAGCAAAAAGAAGAATTGAATACATGTAGATATGAGAATTATTGTCGATCATCAAAATTGATTAGGGAAGCAATATACAAGTACATATAAGTTGGTTTTCATACATAAAAGAGGAATAGTGGAGAATGGAAATGAAATATACAAGAGAGGAAAATGTTAAAATATAAAATGGAGCACAGATACAAGTATATAATGACGCAATAGTTAGAATCTAAAACATAAACCAGGAAGGAACAAAAGAGTGGACCATGAAAGACAGAAAAGAAATGAGAGAGAGAAAAGTAGGAAAATGTACCTCATTATATAAATAAAAGAGGGGAAAAAACAGAAGAAATACACACACACACCAGGCTGCTAATTCATACCATCTAGAACCAAACTACTATGTACATGTACATGCATACCTCTACCAAATCAGTCTCCACACAAAACCAATTACCTTCATGGAAGATTAAGCATGAATTGTTTATAATAATGGACATACCATAGCAAAGTAAAAACCTAATTATAATTGTATCTACCGAACCATGACTGAAAAAAGTGTACAAATCATTTGAAGGATCAATTTATCTAGATGATGGTTGTTAGGAAGCTACGCTCTAGTATCTTTGGGCTGCGTTAGTAAAGGATGACTACATGGAGTATACTCTATGTTACAAGGTTGTATTCACAAACATGCATTGCTTTAATAACATACATGTGGGGCTTGCGTGTGCGTGAGTGTGTGTGTGTGTGTGCGCAGACTGCTCACAAATACGGCTCATTCTGGGAAAGGTGAATTCAAGGGAAAACAAAATAAATCACAGCAAAACAATAAAACAATGATTAAATTAAACATGTGATAACAAGGTTCAAAATAGGGCAAATCGACTAGTTTACTGTTAGCACATTACTGCAATCACCCCGAATATCCACAGATCTTCAAAACATGAAGAGGTCCCACTTTGTACATTTTGAAATAATCACTCCCACAGCAATGGAGGTGTATATAAATAGCCTTTGTTTCCCCTTTTCAAAAATACTTCCACCTGTGTATCATGGAGTGCACTGATTGTGCATGAATGAATAATGATTACATAACTTTCATGAGCACGTATCCAGTATTTCAAAATTATGTTGTATGTTCGGCAATGACCTTTATCTGGTCATGCTCAGACTGCAACTGTAAACTGGCTTACACTGTAACCCTTAAAAGTTATGAGTGAAAATAACACCTTTTTCCATTAAGAAATATAGCCAAGCCTCCTCAGATGTCCTTCAAACGACACTAAATACTTCATGTGGCGCCTGAATCGTTAAGTTGGGATTCACATCTTCAACTTACATGTATGATTTCTATAAATGCCTGCCTACTCTACAAAGCTTCATGAAATATCAGCGACTAATTTGCTTGGATCTGAAATTAGAGGTTTTCTGCTAAACCTCAATCACTGATCATGCAGAGTGTTTCTTTTTTTCACATGACAAACATTTGAAGGTCAACAAGTGAGCAAGGCATTGATGGGTATGAGGTGTGAGGTAAGGAAACCAAGGAAGAGGGTACTAGTAGAGGGATAAGACTTGTTAGGTTTGAGGTTGATGCTTTGGAAATTGCAGCTTTAATTTGGCGGTGTAATAGAATTACATTTTGCAGAACACTATTTGAAACTTGTTTTCTTGTATCACATCACTTCCAATGAATCTCATCATATCTATTATACTTCAAAAGAAACCAAACACTTTTGGGCAGATCCGTCTAACATCAAAATCAGAGATGAACAAATACTTAAATTCACTTTTTTTAATTTAATTTTGCGTACCCTAAATTTGAAGTCGTGAACATTCAATTACTCTATTGAACAGCCAATCATTATTCAGATTTTGAAGCATGATGCAAATGGTAGCTTGATTGTGATTGAGAGACTAATTCGAATGAGTGTAAATAAATTTGGGGATCAGGGGCAGGGATACAATCATTCAGAATGGGATCATGCATGCTTTTAGCCACTCCAAATAATAGGCCTGAAAGCCCTGATGGTGTGTGCTCTCTCTCTCTCTCTCTCTCTCTTTCTCCCTCTTTTTCTTTCTTTCTTTCTTTCTTTCTTTCTTTCTTTCTTTCTTTCTCTCTCTCTCTCTCTCTCTCTCTCCCCCTCTCCCATTGTTAACAAGATATGAAAGCACTCACCCTGTCTCCTCTGTAAATGGGGTTCTTTGAGAAAGCTGACCATCCACTGTCTTCCGTCTCTTCATTCAGTCTTCCATAGCTGTTTCTCAATCTCCTCCTAACAACAATAAAGATCATCATACATGTAGATACATTATCATCGCAATGAAAAGGAGTTGCAACGAAATAGGAAATTGACTAGGCTCAGTTTACTTGTATAATATAGGCACATGCAAGTCAAGGTGCTGTTCTAAGTAATTGTTTTAATGTTGAAGAAAAGGAGATGAAAGAATTAGTCTTGTTTCAGTCATGATCTTCTTTGCCACAATCCAAATACAGGGAAAGTTTGTTTTGTTGGCTGATAACACTTTTTTCTATTTAAATAGAGAGGTGAATAATATTCCCACTTTGAAAAATAAACCTAAGGCTTATCAAGCAACTTGATTTCAGAAGAGTAACAACAAAAAAATCAATTGTAATTTTAATGGAATATATTTTGAATAGGAATTAAGTCTTTTTCAAATGACACATTATATTGTTGTGCCTGAATCATTAATTGATACGTTCACTTACTGCCTGATGTAGACGATGACACCCACAACACATACAAGAAGTATAGCAGTGACAACCAGACCAACAACAACAGCTGTGTTTCCATGATGTAATGTAGTCTTGTTTGGTTCATCAGGCTTGGTGGTTGATGCACCGGTGGTTGGCACCTTCGCTGGTTCCGTTGGCTTTTCTGTAGTTGGTTTTATTGGCTGTTTTGTCTTCTCTGGTGCCACTGTAGATGGCTTGGGCGTGTCTGGTGAATGAGTGGGTGTGGCTTTGGAGGTAGTATACGGAGCAATGGTAGATGCATCGGTGTCATCGGTGCTCGGGCGATTGGTTGTCATGTTTGGTAGTGCTGTAGCATTGTCTGGTTGCGCTGTAGTCATGTTTGGTAGCACTAACGTAGTCATATCCTCTGGCATGATGGTGGGAGCGTCTGTATCAGGGTTCAGATCTGTTGCAGTGGGCTGCGTTGCCTCGGTGCAGTTTTCTGTGGTGTCGTTACAGTCTGGTGCACTGGTCTCTAAATCTGGTGTGCTCATGTCCATCACGGTTGTTAGCTCCGGTACCATGGTGTTGATATCGGTGGCAGGTGCCTGGGTGGTTCCATTTGGTGCTGTTGTAGGTGCCTGGGTGGTTTCATTTACTTTTGTTGTAGGTGCCTGGGTGGTTTCATTTAGTTTTGTTGTAGGTGCCTGGGTGGTTTCATTTGGTGCTGTTGTAGGTGCCTGGGTGGTTTCATTAACTTGCGCGGATGGCGCTTGCGTGGTATTATTTGGTTGTGTAGCAAGTGCTTGAGGGATTCCAGGTGCCGTTGTGGAAACCTCCCCCGCTGCATGGCTGGTTGAGAGTAAGAACGCTGCAGAAGCAAGTAAAGAGAAATAAAGGCAAAAGTTTGAATACATGTCCTCTTCATAGGATTGGAATACTATCGTACAGTAAAAAATAAATTTTTAAAAAATTATTAGGGGGCTCCATATCCGATTCCGGGGAAATTTGGGGGGCTACTTTTTCAACTTTCAGGGACTCTTTTTTTCATTTCTGGTGCTACTTTTTTCAGGGCTACTCTTTCATTAAATCATAAAAGGATACAGTTAGTTTGATGAGTTTATTTAGTAGGCTTACTGAATACTGGCTTATATATCTTTGATTAAGGTTTCAGGCTTCCTGCTTCATATTAACCCACTCATTACCCAGTAAAAATGCTGCAGCATGCAACTGGACTGTCAGTCACAATGATTTTCTCTGATTTTCTTGTAAAAACTTCACTTTGAAAAATGATTATCAAAATTCAGTAAACATGGCCAGAATATTCACAAAATAAGATTTGATTTCATTTTCACAAAAACTATATTAAAAATTGTGGCAATCATGATGGAAATAGATTGCAGTTTCGCGATGTTTCGCTACATATGGTTTAGCGATTGATCAAGGTTCAGCTAATGATCCATCAAAACAAAATCGGCTGCCAAAAACTCAGTCCCTACGCTCCGTTTCGCAACCGCAAAATTTGTAAGTGTTTTTGCGTACTTGGGACATAGTAAGGCATGGATCAAGTTATTTAGGATAAAATTTGTGTATACAATTTTACATTGAGATTTAGCGCGGGGGTGTGGGCAGACCAAGAAATGCACAAAATGAATACGAAGCTAGTAGAGAGCAGCCGCTCGTAGTCATGCGACAATTGTTACGAGGGCGATTTAGACCATTTTCTTTTTTAGAAGTCGCCCCCGTAATCAGATTTTTGGCCTATACATGTAGATAGGAATTAAAACCATTTTGTCTACTTTTCGAGCTGAATTTAATCCAAACTTTATCTGCATGAGGCTACTTCTAATGTCTAGTCATAACTTAATCATTGTCTCCCATAAGGACCCTGAAATAAACAACAAAAATATTTTTAAATGGAGAATTCCTTCATAATTATTTCTAAGGACTACTGGTACAGACAATAACATTTATTTATGACATGAAGAAAATATCAAGATGTTTCAATTCAATTCTCATTTCATGTATATGTTCTGCACATTGATAAAACCAGATGAACTATAGTGGCTAATATTCTTACCTGCATGCAACGAGACACAAATGCAAAATATTGAAGAATACTTCATGTTGATGCTGTCTTTGCCTTGGTCGAAAGGATGCTTGGTGTTGTATCTAACAATATTCAAACGTGATCCAATTTCTCTTTAAGAATCTATTTGATCAAAATTAAAAAGAGAAAGAATGGTAATTTTTTAAGTTTACAAGTGGAAAGATAACAAAAATATTCACTGAGCAATCACATCTGTCATTGCAAAGTTTGTTTTTAAACATCCCTCCTGTTTGCATTTCAGCATGGCAAGAAGAAAATAATTTTCTAATTCCTTCAAATAATCAAGGTAAAACAATCACATCTCCTACAAACTAATTTGTGCTTGATAGAATAAAGTTCCTGATGCATGGTCCTGTTTCATTCTAATGTTTGTTTGCTTTACATTCTTCTGGATGTTCCGCACCATAAAATGATCTGCCTTCATGATGACCTTGATTAGGCTTGTATAATCTGTTATCAGTATCATTTACATAAGGAATGTACTTTAGGTCAAGGTGGCCACAATCATGATCAGATTAAGTCATATTGGCAAATGGCAATCACAAGAATAAATAAGAATGAGGAAAGGTACATGATAAAGATGTTCTTAATATTTTCAAAGGGTTTTCACTCTCCAACAGAGAAATTTTCAAGAACATTTATACATACATGTATTACATGTACATTTGTTTATATTCTCTGATGCCAACCTCATTTAAAATGACTCGATGTGTTCATTATTCCCTCTTATCCAGTGTTCTTTTATAAAGCTCTCATCATGTTCACTTTCCAAAGAATCCAGGTTTCCAGAGCCAACAGTTACAACATTGCTATCGCTCACAAAGTCACCGCATAGATTTGTTTTTCACACCCAGAAAGATCAATAAATAAACCATACAATTGCAGCAGAGCTTTTGCCGTAAGGGTTTTGTGATGAAAAGGACCGATTGCTCCACATTTGTCTTTGTCATTGTCAATGACAACACGTATAACTTAAGCTTACATTTAGCGCATGCGCATAACGTTCATCCGATCTCAGCAAATTGCAGCCTTATTTTCCTAAATTGGCGCCTGAGTTAGCGACTGTAATCTAAGCAATTCATCATTACGGTCGCAAACTTAACACATGCGCGCACACCCCACCGTCGGCACGGTATGCAAAATTGCAATGGTATTGTGCAGCAGTTTGCTGTGAATCCCATGAGAAAGTGTATATTATAAGTCTTCGTTTTTAAGACAAATACTAGTCTAGAGTCTACTCCAAAAAAGATAAGAAAATTGACACAAAACAGGTAAAAAACATAATGACTTTTAAATCATGCGCATTATTTGAACAATTGATGAAGATTTAGTTGATTTTCGGTGTGTTTCAGTAGGGTTTATCTCCACGCCGGACTTACGGGTTAAAGTCTGGATACACTTCTGAACTAGGTATAGCGCCTGCTCCAGCGCGGCACCTGGCTTTATTTTATTTTTTTAATCAAATTCGTGATTCAATTTTCACCCTCAAATCAAATTAATTCCTACAATGGTGCCCATGTTAGCATGGTTAGTGTAGATCTGTAAAGCATATTTTAGATTCATGTATTAAAATAAATACCGCTAAACTGCATAATTGAAAATGTGCCGAGATCAAATAAGCTTTAAGCGCCATGAAAAGTAATGAAAAGTAAATGGACAGCTTCCATTTTTTTACAAACGCCAATTCATTAACATAGGACCACACAACACATCATCACTGTTCGCGCACTTTCAAACACATCACTCTTCGGCAAGAATACACATGTAAGAATGGTTTAATTCAATTTTAAATATTTCTCATTGTGTATATTAGATAATATCCTTCCCTAATTTTTACCATAAATGTCCTAAGATTAAGAGAAACTCACCAAAATCTGTAAATTCGTTGTGAAAGCCGTCTTCTAGAATGTCGTAATGTATCAGGATGACGTCATTATGAGGAAGTTGTCACATCTGTTGTCATATCACGTGTCGCTTATTACAGCTCCCAAGCGAAAGAGATTAATAAGAACGGATACCAGTCTTTTGTCTGACTCATTGTTTTTTACTCGTCAATTTCTTTTTGTTATCTCGTCATCAGTGTAATCAAATGAATATTAAGTCAATAGGGATAGAATTTATACTTTCCTTTTAAATGAGCTGTAAAATGTGTAATATAGTTATATCACATACCGGCATACTGATCAATGATTCCATAGCAAATGACACAAGAGCAACAATATTGGTTAAGGGTATACCGAGGGTATATAACTGAACAGAACAATGTTTAATTTGATTAACGGAAACTAAATTAAAAGTAGTATAGAAAGGTCATCAGGACAGGGGTATTTGCTTTTAGAATTAGATTAATCATCATGGTAAATGAACAACCGATATTAAGAAGACGTAGGTCAAGGCTTTGCCTGGTATCAGTCAACCTAGCTGCAGAGAGATAATATCTAAGACTATAAGGACACGAAAAGTTATAAGTAAATATATGCGTTGAATTCAAATCACTACACCGAGAACACGACCAATAAAAGATCAATATGACAAACTTAATGATCAAGGTAGAGAGAGAGAGAGAGATAGAGAGAGAGAGAGAGCCGGAGAGGGGGAGCTAGGACGAGAGAGAGAGAGATAAAGAAGGAGAGAGAGAGAGAGAGAGAGAGAGAGAGAGAGAGAGAGGAAGAAAGAGAGAGAGAGAGAGAGAGAGAGAGAGAGAGAGAGAGAGAGAGGAAGAAAAAAAAGAGAGGCCGGTTGGGCAATTATTTTAATTCCTTTGTCTATTTCTTCTTCTTCTTCTAGATCTAATTCTTCTTCTTCTTCTTCTTCTTCTTCTTCTTCTTCTTCTTCTTCTTCTTCTTCTTCTTCTTCTTCTTCTTCTTCTTCTTCTTTCATCGATTTTTGTTGATCATGAACTCTGTAATAAAAAAAAAGGAGGGGCACAATTTCCGAAAAGTTCTCAAAAGCTCTCACCATGCCTAGGCCCACTAAAATAATGATCAACCCTCTTTGGAAGTAAGTGAAGTGAGACGTGTTTATGTGTGCGCCGTTTGCAAAATGGTTGTTAGATCACAGGCCTACCTTATTTTTTGCAATATTTATTAAAAATGTCACACCATCAGACTTACGTTTAATGGCCTATCAGTGGCACAAGAGGGCAGTATCCTGCTTCTCAGAACATGCCATTGGTTTGGAGTGTTTGGCCTGCCCGGTTGCGCGTTTCCGTTTTACACCCTGCCCTAGGCTTTTCTCCAATAAAATTTTACAAACCGACTGGTATTCGGAGTCTAGTCGTCCACATCTTGCCTAACTAGGCGTTGTGGCGTGCGCCTGTAATCCAGCTAAAAAGTGGAAGTTACAAACTGATTCAGCCGAGGACGCAGGTTCGAAACTGAGTCACGTCTTTCGGATGGTGACGTTTAAAGGTCGGTCCCAGACGTAAATAATCATATCTGATTGATACACGTCTGTAAAAACCCAATACACACACACACACACACACACGCCTCGGCGCTCTGCACACCACCAGAACTCTGAAAACGTCACGTAGCGCTAGCTAACTCTCTATACTAGTTGATCTTCCTAGTCGTATCATTTATTTTTATCCATTAATACGCAATACTCTAAGAGCGTGAGGATGCGTGATCAGCTCGCAAAATTTAGCCCAGCGATAACAAAACAATAATATATCGGGAAAACCGTCTTGAACAAGAAGACCCTCGCATCCCCAATTGAAATTGTACATAAGCTTTGGCTTCGCTATTCTTGACGTCGATATAAACAAACTTAGACTTCGGATACAGCATGTTTCGTGTAATTTCTTGCCGAAAAGCCTAGGGCAGGGTGTAAAACGGAAACGCGCTGCCCGGTTTAAGTTTGGCACAATATGGCAAGTACTGCTTTTGGGGGCAAGCGCACAACGAAACAGTATACGCCATCAACGCCATCAACGCCATCATACGCCATCATCCGAAAACAAGTTGGCCCGAACTATGTGTATAGATGGTTCTGCTTCAGACGTAAATCAAGTGATATATATTAGGTACTTTTAGATTTACACGACGAGAACGTGGACCGCCACGTGTGACATCCTTTTAAAGGTAGTGTGACGTCCTTTTAAGGCACTGCCGGGGCGCGAATTTTTTTTTTCCCAAACAGGTTTACCTATGAGAGTAAAATCCTGCCTCCTGATTGGTTCAGAGGTATACGCATCATGAATATTCATGACTGAGCTGAAAGATACTAGTAGTATTACGCATGCGCGTGACACAAGGCGAAGCTGCTCATGCAGCTCATCGAAATCCAAGTTTGAGTTCGTTGATGCAGCGCAGCTATAGTACGTAGGCTATACACTGCATGCATGGAAAAGCTTGTCTTTGACATGTGTAGAGCCTGTATAATATTACTTTATGTCCTTTGTTTTCTTTGGCCAGGTTCATCTGTCACAAAGGAACCAGAACCACTGATATGTTTGTTTGTTTTGTTTTATTTCCACTTTTTCATATCACTACAAAGAAACATACAAATAAATATAATGAATAACATGTAAGTTTGACAAATTTTGTTTCTAGTTAAAATAAAAGTTTCATACAAAAGGAAAAAGCAGGAGACCACATGTCGTAAGCGTAAATGCTTGAACATGACCGTGGCCTCTGCCGAGTTAACAAAATAAAAGAACAACCCATGCAACTGCATTGTATTCAATGTTAAATAAGATATAAGTGAAGTGATTAAAAGTGAGCATTGCTGAATTAATTTTGAGTGAAAAATTTAGTGAAATATTTCGTGTTGAGAAGTGCATTTGTGCAACGTGCAAAAATTAGCTTGGTGGAACAAAAAAGAGACTAATACCGTGATATTAATTGTGTGTTGGTTTCAGTTACGGGTGATAATATTAAATGTTTGTCAAGATATCATGCTCAGAGCAACACAGTGGCTTTGACCCACATCCAACTCATGTCGGACCATCCTGATAAGATAATTCATACCCCTTGTGTGTGTGTCTATTGTGTATTCTTGACAGCTAGTGTGTGCATTTGTTGCTTATGTGTTTGTAAATACATGAGGGTGGGTCTGTGTTTATAGAGAGAGAGAGAGAAAGATAGTGTTTGTAACTTTGTATGTATAGCCTATGTGTGAAATTGGAATATTAGTGTGTGTACTGTAAGTGAACTCTTTGAGAAAAAAAGTCCGCAGTGTAAAACTATATAAACCAAGCACCAGAATAACCAGAAATGTTCACAAACAAACAGACCCCCCCCCCCCCCTTCCCCCAATAAAAATCTCCTCGCACCACAGCTAGCTCACATACATTTTGTACACCTAAATGGACAGCAAAACTGAAGTCCACGCGCATACGTAATACATATACTAGGTACTGCAGCTCAGCCACAGTGCTGTGAACTCAGCTCGTGAATATTCATGACGCGTATACCTCTGAACCAATCAGGAGGCAGGATTTTACTCTCATAGGTAAACCTGTTTGGGAAAAAAAAATTCGCTGCCGGGGCGCGCGTTTCCGTTTTACACCCTGCCCTAGGCTTTTCTCCAATAAAATTTTACAAACCGACTGGTATTCGGAGTCTAGTCGTCCACATCTTGCCTCGGCGCTCTGCACACCACCAGAACTCTGAAAACGTCACGTAGCGCTAGCTAACTCTCTATACTAGTTGATCTTCCTAGTCGTATCATTTATTTTTATCCATTAATACGCAATACTCTAAGAGCGTGAGGATGCGTGATCAGCTCGCAAAATTTAGCCCAGCGATAACAAAACAATAATATATCGGGAAAACCGTCTTGAACAAGAAGACCCTCGCATCCCCAATTGAAATTGTACATAAGCTTTGGCTTCGCTATTCTTGACGTCGATATAAACAAACTTAGACTTCGGATACAGCATGTTTCGTGTAATTTCTTGCCGAAAAGCCTAGGGCAGGGTGTAAAACGGAAACGCGCTGCCGGGGCATGGCCCAGTGCCTTAACACAATGTCACACGCGGCAGTCCACGCTCTCGTCGTGTAAATCTAAAAGCCCCTATTGTTTGATGGGTCTTCAAAAATGTGGGCGCGTCACAATGTCCCAGTTATACCAATGAATACCAAGCATATGAAAGCGGTGTATATGACCAAACATAAAGAGGGCGGCCATTATCACCCCTTTCAGCAAAGTAGGCCCTATATAGTTTATATGAAATTTACTTATTTCAAAAAATAAAATAAAATTATGAAAAAAAACTTTTCATATCTGACGAATATTAAAATGTATTCACAACAGATGGTCTAATTGTGATCTTGGGTGGTATTTTTTGTTAAAACTATGTTAACTTTTTTGCTGAATTCTTTGTCCCAGAGTTAACTTATCTTTAACAAACTGCTAAATTGCTTGTCTTCTGAAAATAGGTAATTTTCTTTCATTAATTCCGCGGAGTTCGGGAACTAAAAGGTTCAGCCCGGACATGCATGAGGGCTTTTATGAGGCCCTGTTTTGAAGGGGGAAATGTCTGGGTTGTGGGGGCTACAGAGGCTCCAATATAATTATGTTGTAAGCGAGCTTAGCGTAAGTTTTTTTTTTGGGGGGGGGGGGCGGGTGAAGACCAGATGAACGCAATGTTACGAGATTCTGCATTTCGTAAAACAGAATACAGATTGCACACATTATTATGTCAGACATGTCACATAGTTTGTCGGACCAAGCGACAACCGATACCTAATATTTTCATTCTAAATTTTAAAATGCCATAACTCATAACTGGTGATGTTTCCCTATGGAAAAATGTAAATACATTATGAATATCGTTTTTCAGAGTCGTCGTCTGTTAGGGTTATTTTTCGGAACAGTGTACTTGTCTATTGAGAATAAAAAAGGGGTAAAACTGCAATATATAAACAAAAATAGTTTTGATGAAAAAGTAAAAAAATGTAGGTCTTTTGTGTAGAACAGAAAACCGAATTATGTATTTTATTATCAATATATTTTGTCTTCAAACACATTTTTTTTTGGGGGGGGGGGAATCTTGGCAGAAGTGTGCCTTGACACATTTCTTTCTCATACACTGTCGCTCATAAAGTTGGAATATTATTGTTTTACCCCAATTTATGGAATTATTTTAAAAATAATTTTAAAATAATAGATCTAGATAATAGTATACATTCTCAGATTTTATTAAATAATAATTTGCCAATGTATGTGTTGCGTGACTGCTAAAGCACGTGTATGCTACTATGCTTATCAACTAGGGGACCTACGCCCTTAAGTCATAAATGACAGTAATGAGAATTAATGCCCCACAAAAGAGCACTAATATAGCACATCGACACGGTTTTGATCCTGGGGCCTCACAATTACGAGGCCATTGCTTTGTCACTGAACCATGACTGTACGCAGCGGGGGCTACGGTAGAGGGCAGTTTCCATAAATAAAAAAATTAAAAAGAAAATGCAATAAATTTTTAATAATTTATTACATTATACCCAACACTTTAGACGGGCTTTAAACGTCGTAACCTCGTCTTAAATCCAATTATATTTTTAACACGTGACACAATCTAACCAATCTTCATCAATAATTTTTAATGAACTTCTAGCTTTGTTCTACGACTAATCTAATTAAAAACACCCTTTCGGCCCGGCCTTTCGGACTGATAAAAGATGCTATTGAATTTTATTATCAGCATTGCATATTGAAAGCGTTGTATTAAAATACCACAAATCTTTCAGCGGTTCGACATTGAATTTTACTCATATAGCCATGATCATCATGAGTTTGTAGCTTGGCAAGGCAAGGAAATAGAATAGGCTTTGAAAATATCATTGGAAAAACTGGAACGCCACGAACACTTGCGCCTCGCCATAAAATATTGTTCACTGGTCCAATAAATAGTTAACGTAGTAGCCAGCGCTGGATAATTTTCTTGCGAAATATGACTACTAGTCTTGGCTTTTAGACCCGGTAAAACGTGGCTCAAATACAACATCAACATAATCCATCCCCTGCAAACACATATTTCACACGCATCCACATAAAACCAGAAATGTAAACTATACTAGTCAGTAGTCACTAAAAATGTTTATTATAACTTATTGATTATTGCCCAGTAATGCCTACATTATCTTTGTATTTCTGTAAAAATGTCTTTTCCAGTAGAAAGTCCTGTAAATTTCTTTTCAGAAAGTTCTAAGACCGAGAATGAATTAAGCACAGCAATTAAGAGAGCATTGGAAATGATATAATATAGCTTGTGATAATGTCAAAGTTGTATCGACTGATTGTGCCAGCGGTTTATTTCAAATAGGCCTAATTCATGCGAAATAGAAAAATACCATAATGCGTATATAGTGAAAATATTTATTCTATCCTTTTCAAATGTTTCTGGATATCCCCCGAAAAATGCAGTAAAGAGGTGCGTTCTTACATAATCGAGAATGCTGAGAAACATTGTGGTTTTGGATAATGGTAATTGGTCCTTGAATTAATAACAGTTTGTTTTTAAAGACTAGGTAAGGCTGGTTTTAAGATCAAGGTTGTTATGACTGGAATGGATGGCTGAAGTGAGAGTTAGGGTGAGAAAGAAGAAAAGAGGGCGAGAGAGAGATACAATACATAATACGGAACGAGTGAAAGAGAGGAGGGAGGAAAAGAGGAGAGAGAGAGTGAGAGAGAGAGAGAGAGAGAGAGAGAAGGGAGAGACACAGGGGGAGGCAGACGGGCACACAAACAAACAGACACAGACAAAAAAGGGAAGGAGTGATGATTGCAACTTTTTAAAGGCAGTCATGACAGTCATTTTTTTAAGTGTATACATAATACATGATTATAATGTTTATTATGCGAAGAATTACAAAAGGGACATAGAACAAGCTGTATTGCAAACTGAGTGTTGTCTCATTAATATCAATAGAAATGTGCCAGCCAGAAAGAAAAAATCAAAAACGACGATAGTTACTACCTCTAACCTATATCTCACCCAGTGGCGTTTATACAAGTACTGTAATTTGGACTGGGAGTGGAAACATTGATTAATGTTTCTGTGTATTTGTTCCTTTTCATCTTACCCTCTCCCCCCCCCCCCCCCCCCCCCCCGTCCCCCTCCCCTCCCCTCTCTCTCTCTCTCTCTCTCTTTCTAGTTCAAGTTCAAGTTCATTTCATTTTCATAAAAAAAACACAGCAAATGCAAATAAACATAATATTTACATACAAAGAATTTTCAGTTAATACAATAGTTTCAAATGAAATAGGAGAACAAAAGAAAAGCCCATGGTGGCCTTGTATAATAAAAAGTTCCCCGAATATTATAATTTATATTATTTATATTACTGAGCATATATTAGTTAAAGATATCAGGAAAAAAAAGCGATAAACACAATATAAAAAATATAAAAAACTACAAAACATGTATGAAATAATTTAAAATTGGAGGAGGGGGGCAAAAAGGTTTAGAAGGTAAATTTAACGGTACTCAGAATAAAAGGTATACTAGTCTACAGCTCCAAGATGAAAGGAGGTGGGGGGGGGTCTTCATTGTTCTTCTTCTTCAGTGAGTGGGAAGTTCGTGGGAAGGCGCAATCTCAACTAAAGAGGGGACAAAAATGACTGAAAATTTGATCCTATATAGGGATGCAGGGTTCGGAGGTGGGTCCTCGCTGATATTTACCGACGGTGCTTCGGGGGAAGTAGTCATGGGGGCGTGGTGGAAACAAGCAGCTAGCTTCAAGAGAGAGAGAGAGAGAGAGAGAGAGAGAGAGAGAGAGAGAGAGCTATCAGGGTTTTGCAAGTGTCCCGAAATGTTTCATAAAGCTGTGCGTAAAGTTACGAATGACTTTACAAATCATTTTAATATGAAGGGCCAAATGGGATGCCCAAAGTTTTTCCTGACATTTTAACAAAGTGTGACTGTATTTCCCATAATCTCAATTAAATTGTAGCCAAAAAATACACTTTGCATTAGAATTTTTTGTTAATAATGGTAAGGTTTATCTACATCTGCATATTTCAACTTTAGCTTATGCAATTAAAAGGATTTGAGAATCCCATTTAGCTCTCCATATTCAAGTCATTCGTAAAGTCATGCGTAACTTAACGCACAGCTTTATGAAACACCCCTGGTTGTTAAGGACATGGGACAGCGGGGTTAAACAGATGGACGAGGAAAAGCCTGGTACCGGTATTACCAATAATTGGGTAAAATAAAAATAATAATACGATAATAATATCTCAAATTTAATTTATCTTTTGAATTCGACGCTCTGATATAAGAAATAAAAGTTCATTATACGGAGAATATTTTCAGTGATAATTTTTCTCTTCCCCTATTATCTCCATATCCTCCACTGGCCCTCCTTCCCTCCTTCCCTCCACTTCCATCTGAAACGCCCTCTAGAAACATCATTGGGCAATCTATTTCTAAACTGATCGATCTCTTTTTAAAAAAGCGATCCACATTGTCTTAAAGACTTCATTAGATAACATTTTATACCATAGTCATGGTATTAATTTTAAAATCAAATCAAATATTTTACGTGACGTTGCATTATTTCTGGCCACTCCTGGATAACGCTTTGGTCTCTTATGCCTGCCCTGAATATATATGTCTTTCATAACTCAAATCACTGAATTCTGCGTTATCTTAATACACCCTTTGTTTTATATAGTTCAGTTTATACGATCCGTAGATCCGTGAATTTGTGAAAATTAAGTTTTATATCAAACATCTGGATGATTTAGAATTGATAACAAAGAAGTTAAACCAAAGATCCGTTTTTTCGAAGTTGTGTTACTTCCTTGATCCGGGATAATATTAAACCCCTCTGAAAACTGATTTCATTTATCTACCGAAATTTGGAAACATGATGTAAGTCTTGTCAGACTGGTTTTATACACAGATATTTTATAAGGGAAGTAGTTGGTTTCAATAGAGGTAGAAAAATGAGAGGAACAGGGTTTTTTTTTTTAAAAGTTGTGAATCTTTTAAGTTGCGATAAATCAAACACAATTTGGTAACTCTGTGCGTATCTTGTGAGCTTTCCTCATATTTGCTAGCTCTGTACTATGAAGAAGAAGAATGGAAGAAAAAAAATAGAATTGTGTATTTTCCCTAAAGAAAATTTTCAATCATACATGCACTCAAAAGTCATTATTGCAAAAATATTTAAACCCTTTATGAATCAAATCTTTTCAGTCATCAAGAAGTAAGAAAATGAAAGTTTATGAAATTTGTGTACATAGTAAATTGCAGAGGACCTAGAAAAATGTGTCACGGTGTTGCCAACTTGTGTTTCTCTGATGAAAATTTAAAAATTCAAACAAATTGCCTACTTTTAATCGGATATTGCTCGATAGAAAGAGAGAGAGAAGGACGGCAACATGAGAAGAAATAAACAGTGAGACCACCCCTCCCATAACCCCCTCCTAACTTGAGCTGCCCCCCCCCCCCCGTTCGCGTTATTTTTTTCTGCGGCACAGATTGGGGTTAGGTGCGTGTTGAGCATATGGGAGAGTTTAGGGTTAGGGTTAGGGTTAAATCAAGACCTCTTTTTTTTTTAAAAGCCCAAATCTGCGCCGCAGAAAAAAATGACGCCCCCCGTTCCGTCCCGTACGCCTGTAGAATGGCCACTGAGTACCACTCGTATCAATGGCCATCTAGGGGCGTTGGGGGCATCTACAAAGTACCATCCCGCTTAATATCATTATCATGAACAATGCTTTCACACTTGTTTGTTCCTTGTTAGAGTTTATCACGGTTTATTAAAAATATAGGTTCACAAAATCATACCTGGTCGTAAGTAGTAACATAATTATAGGGGTTTTTTTCTGAACAAACGAACATTACCTTTACATTTACGAATCCAAACATTTTAAACATTACATGAATTGTAAGCTTGACGTGAGTATTCATGAAAGCAGAACAACTTGATGAAAATAAAATCATTTGCCATCAACCTGTTGAGGGTACTCGTTACTATTAACCAATCAGGAGTCAGTATTTGATAATGGGCGGTGTGCCGAGCTATATGAAGCCGAATAATTATGTGTACGCGTGTGACGACCCGCATATAAAACAATTTGAAGATTGTAACTATTTTTTTTTTTTTATCTCTCTGCGGTAAGAGGCTCGTTAGGTTTAACAACCGCAAAATATGATTTGTTTTGGCTTTTGTCTTCATTTGCCAATGACCTTGGGACTCTTATGGTCGCGTGTCAGCGTCTGTCTGTCCACATAACTGGTCCAATCATAGACTTTAATCGATCAAAACAGGATCGGGACGGACGAGAGGTTGGCAATTCAATTTGGAAGAGGAGAGAGGGTTTCTTTCGAGTTACTCCTGCGTTCTTCATCTTCATCTTTGAGACTGGAGTTGATTAATCACAATTTGCATCATTCAATTGGTAAGTCGAAATTCTATAACCTTATGTATTCTTTTTACTCGTTAATTCAAAGTAAAGAATTTGAACTATTTTTGAAAAGTGTAATGGATATAGATGATTGTTGATGGATGAGCAAAAGCTCGAGAACATCAAGAAATTTTAAGAAAGGCATAGAAAATATTGAAATGCAATGAATAATAACATGGCATACAAAATAATTAGTTAGGCTTTAAATAATCATCATTAAGATTTTTTTTAATGGCGTAGCGACTGGGGCAGGGGCACATTCCCCAAATCGAATGTTTTTATATTTTATTTAAAAAATTGAATAGATTTTGAAACTTTGTGAACATCACAACACCTGGGCATTGTCTTAGAAAGGGTTGCAATGACAGAGATCAACAGAAATTCATACCAATAACAGCTTTGTGTGTAGGAGATGCTGAATTGAATCTATGCGATGGATCGAAGGATTAATTGGGATCAACTGCAAACTTACTCGTCTCCAATATCCCTTTTTAAAGCCATAAAATTAAAGAACTACATATTTATGGTAAATTAAGGCGATTTCATCTCACCCAAAAATATGTATTGGAGTGGCAATCGACTTCTCAAATTAAAATGTGTTATTTTCGGTCAGTATGGTTTGTTTCAAAAGAATTCACTGAGACACATTTAAATCAGGTTGTAATTGACTCCAATCACCACAAGTTCCAATGTTATAGGTCTATTTATAAATCCGATTACAGTTGATAGTTATGACGAGCAGGCGCGTACGCAGGGGGGGGGGGGGGGTTGGGGTTAACCCCCCCCCCTTGAGTTTTTTTTATGTGTATGTTTTGTGTATGATTTTTGTGACCCCCCCCCCCCCCCCCCACTGAGCGACTTTTCGGCTGGCTTAGTCGGTGCGATTTTTTTTGGACTCCCCCCCCCAAAAAAAGTGTCCTCTTACCCCCCCCCCCCCCCCCCCCCCCCCCCCCCCCCCCCACTGAGCGACTTTTCGGCTGGCTGAGTCGTTGCGATTTTTTTTGGACTCGATTTTAACCCCCCTTGAAAAAATCCTGCGTACGCCACTGATGACGAGGTTTGATCGAAATTGACAGAGAGTGAGAGCAACTTGTTCTACATGTATATAATATATAGAATTAAAATAACGTAAAATCTGCGTTTCCAGGGAGAGATAGATGTAGCACTATTGCAAAAGCAATAAATAATTAAGAATTATATTTTCAATACTATTGATTCATTTTTTTCTTTACAGGTTGAGCACATGACATCGCGGAGTCAAACATCGATTAGACAGTTTCCTAAATGAGCTTGATGAAAATTAAACATCACTAACAATCGACGAAGCTATCCTTCCTCGTAAATACGACGTCGACGATCACCTCGAACATGTATAACGGACGTCAATCACCGATCGGATGTCGAGCCATACTCGGTAGCAATCAAATCGCGGATGAATCGCTTACTCTTACTCACCATCAAGAAAACGCTTTCAC